TAAACTGCTAAACTTACAGAAAAATTAAAAGACTAGTATATACAGAATCACCTATTACTAACATTTTATAACACTTCTTTCATCTGTGTATATGATGGAGAAGGGTCATCTGTCTATTTGTTACTTTCATTGGTTAATAAAGAAACTGCCTTGGCTTTTTGATAGGGCAGGATTTAGATAGGTGGAGTAGACAGAACAGAATGCTGGGAGAAAGAAAGCATAGTTGGTCAGATGCCATGGAGCCAGCCGCCAGGTCAGACATGCTGAATCTTTCCCGGTAAGCCACCACCTTGTGGTGTTACACAGATTATTAGAAATGGGTTAATAAAGATGTGAGAGTTAGCCAATAAGAGGCTAGAACTAACAGGCCAGGCAGTGTTTAAAAGAATATAATTTGTGTGTTGTTATTTGGGGGCATAAGCTTTCCGGGCTGCAGGAACGCAGCCCGCTGCTCCTTCTACATATGTGTGGGTATTGTGTATCACTCTCTCATATGAACATACAGTATGCATAGAGGTGTTTATTAAGTAAACGTCAGGGGCCAGAGAGATGGCTGAGTAGTAAAAGTGCTTGCTTTGATAATCCACAATGCTCTGTTGTATGGTATGCTCTGGTACCTACACTGACACAATAATAAAGTTTAAACAGAAACTGCTAAAACAAAAAAATTACAGAGAAATCCTGCCTCAAAACAAGTTAGAAGACAAGAACTAACTCCTGAAACATTATCCTCTGACCCTCACATGTGGATCCACACTCAAGCACACAAACATGTATGCACAAAGATAGTTTTAAAAAATAGGGGTGTTGAGATGGCTCAGGAGGCAACCCTGATGGCCTAGATTTGGTCCCTCAAGTCCACCTAAAAGTGGAAGAAGAGAACTGACTCCAGAAATTGTCCCCTGACCTTCCATATGTGTGCCCACCACCTTTCTTCACTGATATCTTACACATAGTAATAACAAAGCTTCTGATAAACATAAATATATGTATACATTAGTCTTTCTTGCTAAAGTCTTTTAGGACAACTGTACTTACATGGAGTAATAGGAGAAATCCTGTAAATTATTTTTACCTGACTTTTCCTATGATACCATCTGAAAACCATAATACAATATCATAAGTCCTATGTTGATATTGATACAATCAAGATATAGAATATTCCTGTCACCATAAGGATCCCTGTGTTCCATAAATGGAATCATACAATACATAGACATCAGTTAAGGCAGCTCTTCCAAACTTAAATAGGCTAGGAGGATCTTAAACAATAGATGTTTATTTTTTACCTGCTGTTTCACCCATTGTTCCAGAGGTTTTGATGTCCTAGGCCAAGGTGTTGATAGACTTGCTTTTTCCAGGCCTGGAGAAGACTGCCCTCTGGCTGTGTCTTGACATAGCAGAGAAGGTGCTTATCTCTCTTGAAGCCACTAATCCATTATAGGCACTCCACCCTTATATCCCATCTAGACCTAGCAACTTCCCAAAGGTCTGCTATCTAATTTTCTCTTGGTGGGGGTACACATTTGGGAAGGGAAGGGCACAGACATTTAGGTAAACCTAAACCTTTGTGATTGGCCTTTTCTTACTCAGCATAAAATTCTCTGGAGATTCGCCCAAGTTGTTACATAGTTGATGATTTTGGGACAGGGCTTCACTGTATAGCCAAAGCCTAGTTTAAACTCTATCCTGCCTCAGCCTCATGCTGGAGTTGCAGGCATGTATCATCATGCCTGGCTTCATGTACAGGCCATGTCTTCATTAATTTGGGATACATACCCAGAAGTACAAATTATTGGTTTGTGTGGTAACTGCATGCTTAGCTTCAATAGAAAACCATTTTCCGAAGTGCAGTACATTCTGGCCCTTTCTCTGTAGCTTCACTAGCATTTGCGGTTGTCCCTTTGTTTTAGCCATTCAGTAGTATTTCATCATGGTTTTACTTTGGAATCCCCTAATGGTTAATGATGTTTGCCATTGCTTTGTGTGCTGATTTTTTTGTCTGTGTATCCTCTTCAGTGAAATAAATATCTGTTCCTATCTTCTGTCTGTTTTTTGATTGGTTTATTTATTTTTTACTTTTTGGGGACTACATTTTTAAAAAGTTTTTAAAAAATATGTTCTAGATAGTAGCCCTTGTCACATATGTATCCTATGATATCCTTTCCCATTTGATTATTTGTCTTTTTAGTCACCTAGGTGCTTTTGCAGAATGTTTTTAATTTTTGTAAAGTTAGTTTGATCACTTTTCTGACTCATGTTTTAACAGTTTATAACACTTCCTCAGTCTCTCTGTACACGGGAAGACAGTATGCATAGAGGTGTGTGAAGTCAGCTTCCGGGCCAGAGAGATGGTTTCTAAGTTTCGTAGCTTTCTGATTTATATGTTAAGTTCAGGGGGGTTTTGTTGTTGCTGTTTATGTTTTGTTTGTGGTATGAGACTGAAGTTGAGGTTTCTTTCTTTATTTATACATCACCAAGTGCTCCAGCACCGTTTCTTTAACGGACTGTTTTCTTCCACTGAGTTGTTGTACCTTTATACAAATTCAATTGGGCATATTTGTGTGAGACTCTTTCTGGGTTCTGCATTATCTTATTTTTGATCTATTTTCCTCCTACCACAATCATATGCCCTAGCTATGTACCACCTTAAATTCAGTTTTCTTTTTTTAAAATTAATTTAGTTATTATGTATAGTGTTCTGTCTGTATGTATGCCTGCTGGCCAGAAGAGGGCATCAGATCTCATTATAGGTGGCTGTGAGCCACCATGTGGTTGCTGGGAATTGAACTTAGGACCTTTGGAAGAGCAGCCAGTGCTCTTAACCTCTGAACCATTTCTCCAGCCCAGAACCTACCTTCTTAAGTAAAACTGAACATCGTATTTAAAAATATGGCTTTTAAAATGGTTAGTATAGATAGAAAAATGTTTGTCACAGTCTTCTGTTGTCAACACTTAATGTTTAGATACTTTATTTCTCTAGATGTTGTCTTCTTCCCCTATTTATAATACTTTTATTTCTTCCACATATATCCAGAGCACATCAGACACTGTTTTAATGCATTCGCGCTTAACTGCAAAACTAAAACTCTAATGGAAAAGGCCACCCTCAAAGTTTTTATTTTTTTTCTTTTTCTTTTTGGTTTAGAGAAAATTCTTTAGCAATGTAATAAGTTTGATCAAGGTGATGTCAACCAGATCTCTGCATTGCAAGCTATCCTTTTTTTTTTTTAAATTACCTTTGAAAGATTTTAGAATCATCAATTAAATTTTTTAATATAAGGAAAGCTCTTCTTTACAGTAGAATTCTAATTAATAAATATAGAAAGAATGATGGAGATAAAAAAATCACTATTAAATCACTGTTAAGCCAACACCACTGTAATAACTGATGCCAGCAGAGTCATCAGTGGGTGGCAGACACTCCCATCAAGGGGTCCAAGTTGACAGCAATGATAAAACATACTGTCTGGCACTTCTGTGTTGTTGTTGGCAAAAACACATATACTTAAGTTGATCTTGGAACACTGAACAGTGCAGTTGAGGAACAGACCTCCAGCATAACTGATGAATATTCATCAGGTCTGCCAGGGTCATGGCAGAGAAGCTGTTATCGATTGGAGGAGATTTGACAGCTAAATGCAGTACAGAATCCCGGGTCGGGGAAAGATCACTCATGGCACACGGACAGAATTGAAGCCTGTCAGTTAATAGCGCTCAGTGTGTCATGGTGGGTCATCAGTGGGTGATGGCTGATGTGTGGAGACGTAGCAGTGTCACTGTGGAAACAGTACAGTTCTGCTGGTTCAGATTCCTCCAAGTTGAAAGTTATTTCAAAAGAAAAAAAGTCTTTAAACTTTTATTCCACAATAAAAAATCTCCCTTGTAAAATATATAGTCTTATTCAGTTTACATACATAGCAAAGCTCTATTCTGTTTTCTTTTCTTTTCATACAGGCAGGGTCTGACTGTATAGTCCTGCTGGCCTAGAACTTTCTAGACCATGCTAACTTTGAACTCACAGAGATTCTCCTGCTTCTGCCTCTCAAGTGCTGGGATTAAAAGCATCACTCTTGGTGTGCATTCTATTTAAGTATGGGAAAATCTTATATCCTCCCATTCTGAAGCCTGGATGCAGTCATAGAAACTCCTGCTTTTTCCAAAGACTTCATGAGCACACAGAATTCCTGTGCTTCCCAGATAATAGATTTTAGCACTAACTGAGGACTTGGCCCTGTTCTGGACCCTGGAGACCAATGAACGAACAAGATGATTAAATCCTCGCCTGTCAGGAACTGTAGATGCTGAGCAAAATAAGCATGTTTTTAACATGTTGTGGGGACCATATTAGGGCTTGTGGGGGGTGCACCCTTCACTGTGTCATCGGAGTAGTGCTTACTGTCATCCTTTGTCACCTTTTCTGCTTAAGACATAACTGCTTGAAATTATATGATGAAAACATGCTAATAACACACCTTCCTCCAGTGTAAGCCCGATACAGGCAACGGCTTCATTTGTTTCTTCCGTCACAGCTGAGAAACAAGGCCCAACTCCTGCAGCTCCCCGCTACCCCTACCCACACCTCACACCTTGCTGTTCGCCATACCTGAGACTTGTTGCTTTCTTTAGTCCTCAGACTCAAGTTGTGGTAAAGTTCATCTTCTTGAGTAACTGTTGAGTTTTCTGTGCTTTCCTGGGTGAGGATGGCATACGAGTCTTGATTCCCTGTCACCTTGGAGAATGTCCCCAGTCTGTCTTACATGGGAGTCACTCAGTTGTACTTCTATTTGACATATGATGCAAAATGCTTTTCATCTGACAAATGAAAGACATTTCTCTTTCAAGTCATGGAACATCCATGACCAAATACCTTTGATAACTTACATTATCTTGTTCTTTTGGGGCAGTGCCTTTGTTTTCTTTTCATGTCTCACTCTGATGTTACACACCTAGTTCTTTTCCTATAACCTAACCATCTTTCATTTTTATGTTTTGAACAGTGTTATTTACTTGTGTACTACACCAGCTGGCGGAATGTCAAATCATTCTTGACTTTTGGCTTAATCTGTCTGTGCAACATGTATCTCTACGAACTGCGCAACCTCTGGCAGCTTTTCTTCCATGTGACTGTGGGAGCATTTGTTACGCTGCAGATCTGGCTGAGGCAAGCCCAAGGCAAGGCTCCTGACCATGATGTCTGACATCTCCCTCAGATGTATTGCCTTTGCCTTCAGGAGACGAAGGCGAGGACATATATTAACTGCCACTGTGAGAAAGAGACCAGTCACCACACGCGAGAAGCTCTGCTTGCTTTCTCTCCCCATCTTCCAGTTTTGTTTTTACAAATCAGCCTGGCATGCCTGTAAGCATGCAAGACCTGCTAGGAAAACTCTCAGAAGAATCTTGCAGTGGAGTATCAGGCTTACCACACAGTAGAAGTTCAACATCATCCGAAGACCTGGCAGTTAACCAAAATCTGGGTGTGGAACGTGCTCTGAGGACCAAGCAGGAATGCTACGACCTGAGTTTGCCTTTGTGAGGCATTAGAGACCAATGAAGAAGATGCTGCAGAGACTGGAAGGCTATAGTCTAGAACAAGGACTGTACTAAATATCAGATTGTTTGCACAGTTATAGTATCAAGAGTTATGAAGTCCAGAATGGTGTGAAAATGGTTCCTTTTCTGTTTCTGCCAGCCTCTAACTCTGGAAATCACCTGGTGTGGGAGAAGGCTGTGATGCATCTGGAATCTCACAGACCCTGACGACACAGTGACACGTGTTTTCTTTCTAGACCATGTTTGTCATTTATTTTGAAATCACTAAAAATACATGATTCGTTTGATTATTGTGGTCTCCTAAACTCTTTATAATTTGGGTACTATGTATACTATTATGTGCTTAGTTTTCAACCTTAAAAATTTTAAAGTATTTAACAAAGGAACCCCTACTCCAGGTAGAATATCAGTATCACTTTGCCAACACACAGAGAAATGTTGCTAAGTTCCTACAAGATACTGATACCTGTCAGGGCTCTAAAGCTAAGTAGCACATTCACTGTGATAGTGAGAGGTGCTGCCTGGCACCAGAGTGAGAGCACCTCCGTGGAGTAGTGAGGCTAGTAGGGAATTGCAAAGGGAATGTCGTTTCCGCTGTGATGCAGCTCGGTTTAGTTGTGCGCCCAAGTCCATCTTGCTTGTTGAAGAGGTCTGGTGCTGAGGGTCAGCATAGGGACTTCCCCTTACAGCTCTGTCACCTCGTAGTTTAGGAAGGTAACTATTGCCCAGAAGAAAGAGCACTCTCATACCTTGGAAAGATGACTCAGACCATTTTGAATTCATAATGTGGAAGCACAGCTTGATTCTATTTGCAAAAATCTAAAGTCATCTGGTTTGGAAGCCATCATGAGTTATTTGCCTTTGCTTTTAAAGAAAAGAGTCCAACAAGGAATGCATAGGATTCTGGTATTTTATACCATCCCTCACAACAGTGGACTTGTTAAGGAATTCCTGTTGGGACCATAGTTAGTAGGAGGAGTCCAGGGCAGGTCACCGACCTGCTTTGTCAGCCCAACCCACTGTGTGGACACTGGCAGAGCTGGAAGATCTTCACACCTGGAACCTTCGCTGCCCCTCCATCTCAGAAGAATAAGGTAGAAGGAAGGCAATAAATGGGTTCATAATGTCCACAGTTTATTTAAAACAAGAAAGTCCAAGTCTATCTAGGTGTCTGCTATAACAAAGCTGCACCTTTATCCTGTACCTTCTGAGAGATGCCCCAAGGTCACAGGGGCATAAGCCATCAGAACCACATGGACTATGTTTGGCGTTTTATACTTACTGAGCCTTGTAAGGAAACTGGTTCAGCTTAGGAACAGTTTCCAAGCTAGTGGGTACTGCAGAGGAGATTTCTTTTAAATAGTCAACCAGGGAGCTCGGGCATTCTGGTTAATTGTGGTTTTACTACTCCTTGGTATTTGATAGCTCTCTTACCAGTTTGGTTCAGTTACAGCATTTATATTTGAATCGTTGAGCAGGAACACTTGAAAACCACCAGTTAAGCTGGGCAGTGGTAGAGCACACCTTTAATCCCAGCACTCAGGAGGCAGAGGCAGGCGGATCTCTGTGAGTTTGAGGCCAACCTGGGCTACAAGAGCTAGTTCCAGGACAGGCTCCAAAGCTACAGAGAAACCCTGTCTCAAAAAAAAAAATAAAAATAAAAATAAAAAATAAAAAAAAGAAAGAGAAAAGAAAAAGAAAGAAAAGAAAACCACTAGTTATTTCTAAAAGCTTAACTTAATTTTTTCTTGTTTGTTTTCATCAGCTGTTTTGAGTAAGAGAATGTTTGCATCTTAATGTACAGAATGAAAGCGCAATGAATAGTCTTTTCTGTGCGCCACTGCCACCTTTCACCATTTGGGATCTGCATCCTGAGAAGGTACATAGTTGCCCTGGCTGTTGTGATGATGTCCAGGAATCTCTGGATTTGTCATGGTCCTAAAAGGGACCTCCTTGGTGTCTGAGCTGTGATACCGATAGCTTTTGTTTGGAGCTATCCTTTACTCCTAAGTGTCCACTCCATCAGGGCTCTTGGAGCCGTGTGTGGCTGTGTTCATGTTACGTGGCAAGAGCTCGAGTAAGTGGGTTCCCAGGCTCTCTCTGCTAGTGTGGGACTGATGGAGGGACTATATCTGTGTGTGACAACAGTCTTCCCTGGTGTGTTTTAATGGATGTGTTTTATCTTAATTTAGCCAGTTCTGAAATACTGCAGACACCCTTTGTCATAATCTAAAAGTATTTGCCTGCTTTATTGGTCTGGGTTTGAAATACATTCCTACTGAGTCTTTTCCCTGAAAGAACAACACACCAAGAAAAGCCATAAGATATGGTGCTAACAAAATCTGAACAGAAAGTGGAGACCAGATCAGTGAAACGTAAAGAAGGGCTGAGCTGCCATGGCTATGCAGAGGGTGTAGCAGCGCCCGGAAGCTAGGGTTAGGAGGGAGCAAGTTAGACATTGCTCTGTCAAAGATAAAAGGCATGCCAGATGAGGTATGGGATAAAAATGTGCCTCTGTCCTGGTGAATTTGGTTTGTTCTCACTTGGGGTCTTGGGAAGTGTTAAAGTAATGAAAATTCTTAATTTGACAATGTTTGCTTATTGGGTCAGTCAGTTATGTGTCTGTCACAGGCTTCCATTTCTCTGTCTCTGTCTCTGTCTCTGTCTCTCTCTCTCTCTCTCTCTCTCTCTGTGTGTGTGTGTGTGTGTATCTGTGTGTCTGTGTAAGGATTTTGTTCCCATAAATAAAATTTCTTACCCTGAACTAAGAGCAAGTATTCATTAAAACTTGAAAATCAATTTGAGACAAATGGATCATGAAGAACCTTTACCCAGTTTTGTAATTTATAAAGCAAATATGTCATTCCTGGTTTAACACAATTATTTGTAATGTAGGTTTTTGTTTTCATTATGGACTGAAGTCTGGAAGAGTACGTTTCAGTTAGGCCATGTCAGGAATGCCACTCATCTGTGGCTTTGTCAAGGCTCCTTGGAGGCCAGGGGCTTGTGGCTTGAGACTTTACCTCCATGGCACAGACTCGGGTGAGCCCTCTCTGCTCCCAAAGTTCGCTGACCTCCAAATGGGTATTTATTTGGCCTTTTTCCCCCAGAAGGCTTAAGTAACGGAAGGACACACTCTGAGCTGCTGGGTTTCCAGTGGGGCATGGTGGAGTGTGTGTTTATTATTCTTGTTAACTATTTAACAAGCTAGAGTCACTTTGTTAGAGCTGCCATGGAGTATGTGGTTAAAGAACAAATAAATGATTTCAAAAGCATCCACCACTTAGACCAGAGTGAACACAGCCTTACCACAAATTACAGGTCACTCTTGAGGGCTGCAGTCTGTGCCCATGGTCAGGGCTTCCTAGTCTGACTTTTTCTGCACTCTCATCTTTTAGAAAGTGGAATCTTTCTACCTGGAAATGCTGTGGTAAACAGAACCTGTTCTTTTGTTTAAGTTGGATTTAACAATATCCTCACTAAAGATCAGCAAGAGAATCCCCTGAACCCTAAGGGTTCTGAATGGGTTGGTGAGGGCAGGCAGACAGGAGTACAGCAGCCATCCATATCTGCCACTTGGTGAGAGGCATCTGGTCATTCAGTGGTGCTCTAGGGCCGTTGGCAGATAGCAGGCCTCCTGCTTAAGCACTGGCTATCCCAAAGAAAAGCAGTCCCTGACACCAACTCTTGGGGCATCTTTCTTGAATGGCTGAGCTTTCACATAGATTATCAGGCAGATACAGTTGAGAAATGTTGAAACCCTGTGTGTCTGGGAGCCATATGGTTGCATCCTGATTGTTAATAGTGACTGGCATTGATATACAGAGACCCAAGTGTCCTGTGCCTTGGTAGTGCTAGTGTGTAAACATTTACCTCTGCACACTTGAGAACTTTAGGGAACTAGAGAAAGGAATTCCTGAAGTCAGTACCTGAGCATCACAAATCCTTTCCAGTGTTTCCTTGGCAACGAGCAGTCTTTTCGGCCCAGCCTCACCCGTGGTTCACATTTGCCCTTTTCTATTGCATCCCACAGCACAGCAATGCAGGTATCACCCAAGTTCATGGAACTAGTCAGGCTCCATCTGAGGTCAGGAGGCAGGACTTGTGCCTTCTATTCCCTTGAGGCAGGTCTGTCCCAGCTCTGTCTTGGCCACTTGACTGTTTTGTGCCATTGCTTGGCGTGAAGGCTGGGTTACAAACAACCTTGCCTAAAGGTGAACAAACAATATGTTGCCTTTGTACTTTGTGCTCCAGTAATGTGTACTGGTACCTTTTTACTTCTGTATGATGTACCTTAAGACAGTGGTTTTCATTTGAGAGAAGTAAAGCTGGGGTCAAGAATGTCTTTGGAGGGCATCATGCCAATCAATGGTGGTATGGAGTTGCTGCTGGGATTTGGATTTTTCTTTAGGGTTTGGGGCAGAGCTGTCTGTGTTACAGTATGTCTCGGGATATTCTTGGCATGTTTAGCAGCATTATAGCAGTAGTGGGAACAGATGAGGCAGATATAGAGGGAAAACAGAATTGTGTGCTCTGCAGCATGGCTGGTTGTGGATGTGGCCACGCTGCCTTCACAGCAACCCTGAAGGCATTCTTTCCTACAGATGGGCTGCCCAACCTAGGGATGTCACATGGCTTGACCGCAGCCAGTGTGATTCCTGTAGTGGCTCCAGGATTTTAATCTAGACTGATTTTACTAGGAACTTATACTCTTAGCTACCATATAATTTTAAACCATAGTACATAGATGCCTATGTAACTACATATGTATGCTGGTAATGTGCTTTTTAAATTAGAGACAAGGCCATTGCCGACTCCTGTGGTGCAATCATCCTAAGAGGAATGAAATAGTTGGCTAAAACTCCCTCATTTCTGGCCGTGACAGGGCAGATGGCTCAAGGGCATGGAACTCAAGCACCCAGACTTTAGGTCAAGGGATGCAGATTCAAGTAGTTATACGCAGTGTCACTGGTGAGTCACGTGTCACATTTTCTTTCCTTGGATGCTGCCAGAATATTCTGGTTCTTTGGCGTGGAGTTAATTTTGTGGGCTTCTGCTGAGTCCCAGATCTGAAAACAGGAAACATGGGATAGTTTTCTGCGCTTCAGACTGCTTGGATCTAGAACTCCCTGGTTCTCTTCTACTCGTGCTGTGACTTTGCATGTCCCCGAAACCTTTCTGCCTCAGTTTCCTTGAACCTACAGTGATTAGGGTTGTGGTTGTCAAGTGAGTGGATGTAGGGAAAGCCCTGGGACTAGTGCTGGGCTCACTAATGAAGCCATCCCTTAGGGGAAGATCCTGTGGAAACGTCTAGCATGTGGTGGTGCCCTGCCCCTGAAGACATGTGTGGATTTCTGGGCAGAGCACACATCCAAAGAGGGAAGGGAATTGAGGGGCCCATGCTTGCCTAATAGCTGCTACGTGCCAGGTGCTCTGTGCAGGAAATGTTCATCACGTGCCTTAGCACCCTGAAGAAGTGAGGCAGTGTCACCTGAAAGAGCTAAGCTATGCCTTTCGGTTCCATTCCCTCCGAATCCCAAGGCACAGGGGCAAGGGGATCTTGCCTTGTCCAGTGTGGCGCTAGAATCTGTCTACATGACAGTCTCGGATGACATCATCCCTAGAGCCCCTGAGTCTGCATTGATAGGTGAGGAGGAGCGGGGTGGACAGCCAGCAGCCTATGATCCTGTCAGCTGACAGGCATTCTTGGAAAGCACAAATATAGCATGGCTATAAAAAGATGAAGGTGCACTGCTCTGAAAACTGTGAGCCAGTCGGGAGTGCCACTGTGGCTGAGTGACAAAGTGGGGAAGCAACCTGCATAACTCGCAAGTAGGGACAGTAAAGGCTAAGCAGAGATGCCGACAAGCCCCAAGACCAGACAACCAGGCCCTAATTAGAAGTTGGCCAGCGAGAAAACACTAAGTTACTAAGCTCCCTAATGGATTTCAGTGAGTTGTTCTGGGAAGTGTGAAAGGGATCCTAGGGACCATGAGCCTGGGCTGCTCTGCCCTGCTCAGTAGCACTGCAGAGCTGAAGTTGAGAGCTGGGATGCTGCCTCTATGACCTAGGGACTTCCTTTCTAACCGCCACTGTTCTTTTCCCTACCTAGCCTGTGGTTCAGAGCTTCAAGGTAGAGTACCCGGAGGTGTTGCTGTCCTGCATGGCTTCTGCTGAGGGCAAAGCAAGGTCCTTTTCTGACTTTGGATTGGAGGTAATCATACTGTAACCCCTGTGGCACGGTGCTTTTGCCTCACTGGTCTCTGCCTAGAGCTCTAAAAGTCATAATCTTAACTCAGTTGTTGGTGCTGTATGTGTGGTCTGGCATCCAGAAATTGGGTCAAAAGCTGCACAGATACTTAGAAAATGACAGAGGGGACCTTGGAGACCTGCCAGACTGCTGTCCTCACTAGGCAATGTTCTTGTGTGGGATAGAGACCTTTCAGGTGAGGAGAAGCAAGATAGCAAAAAGGCTATATATGTGTGCCCCCCATAAACAGAAGCAGAACCCTGGGGTTTGAAGAAAATCTAGAAGGATCTCATATCACCAACTTTAAAAAAACTATATATGTGTATATATACACATATACACAAATGTATGTGTGTTTATGTAATTTGTGTGTGTCCATGCTATAGTGTATATGGAAGTCAGAGGAGTGGGTTCTAGGTTCTACCACATGGGTCCCAGTGATTAAACTCAGTGCAGGTGCCTTTACCTGCCGAGCCACCTCAGCACCCCCTCACTAACTTCTGACACTGAGGAGTGCCAAGCCCCTTCTTCCAGACCGTGGCTATGGACAGAGCATCCTGGGCAAGTGGTAAGCTGCTCCTTGAGCTCTCCAGACCTGCCACCAGCCACAGCAGAGAAAGAACATGCTCTGGGGTATGCATTCTTTTTAGCTTGACATTTTACTTTCGGTGGTGACGCAAAGCCATGGTTTCCTGGAACCGTTGCTACTGTGACCATTCTCTAGCTTTGGAGCAATTAGGTGTCTTGGCACTGCTTCCCAGCATTCCACCTCCCAGCGTCCAAGTGCTTTCTGCCCAGGTAAGTGTCTGGCGCTCGGAAGTTCAGGAGCATGGCTTCAGTGTATGGCTGTTGAAGCATTATGCCCAATACCCATAATTTACCATGTGAAAAACCTCAGCCTCAGAACTTATGCCTCTCAGGTGAATTTTGCTTTTGGAAATTCATAAACGTCCGTGTAACTTTGAGAGGTTTTTAAAGTAGCATGGCTTTGTGACAGACTTCGTCTTCTCTGATATGGGAAGTCCTTGTGGCCTTCCACTGAGTCCTTGCCAGCTTCATGCTGTTACTCTGTTGCTCACCATGTTAGCTGCAAACAGGGATGAGGTGTCTGAACCCGACCCGTACAAATTCTCCGAGTTAGCTCTCTAATGTGGATGTGCTTCAGAAGAAATGTAGAGCTGAACTTATTCTCTGGGTTTTGCTCTGTGGGCGTGATGGATATGGGAAGGACTTTCCAACTGCCCCTTCAGGGTGATCAGGTGACTGTGTGTATGTGCATGTGGTTTCAGGAGCTGCGTGAGGGCCCAGCCACAGCAGGTGGGATTTCTTTAGGAGCTGGCTCCCACTTTGACCAGTAATAGTCGGAAGTTTGAATTTTTCTTTTCTTGAGACAGGGTCTCTATGTAGTTTTGGCTTATCCCAAATTCAGATTTTTGCCTGTTCTTGGGTTAAAAGTGTGTTAACAACACCCTGTCGACTTTTAACTTCTTCATCATTGAGTTTTCTTTCTACTTGGCATGCCCCAGCTTAATTTCTGAGTTACGCCCTGCCTCTATAACATCCATCTTTTCTGTGTATACCTGAAACCCTAATGAATTCCAGGGAAGTCTTCCTCACCGGCCTCTTCCTATTACCTGTTTCCAGTGTCATTTGTCCATAGCCCGCTAGAGTTATTTCCTGGACCCAGTTAGTCCTGAGTTTGATGAGTGCAGCACATAGGGTCTGCTGCAAAGGATCCCGCTGTGGACTCGCGCTGCAACTCCTGTTACTTATCAGCTGTGTGGCCATAGGCAAACAGTACCAGCCTCCTGTGCCTCAGTTTCTTCCTCAGTCAAATGCGAAGGCTAGGAGGCTTTAGTGAGATGGTATTTGAATGGTGACCATCCTGGTGTGATACACAGCTGTCTCCAGCTGTGCAGGTCAGATTAGTTGGCCATCCCCACCCCAGGTCCTTCCAATGGTCTGACTACTCTTTATTTCCTTTTTGGTACCTCCTTCCTGCACCCTGACCCAGTATGAAATTCAGACCAGGACACATTACCAGTGAAAGTGTTTTTAATAGTTAAATTATTTAAATAGACTTTTCAATTTCCATGGGAAATCATAATTGTATCATTTTTGCAAGAGCAGGAATAAAAAGAGTGCACACACCCCTTAGAGGGAACGAAGAGCTAGCACTGCACACTGTCACCAGTCACTGCTGGAAGGGAGAGGAGCCTCCACGAGGCCTTGACCCACAGGGAGAACACAGTATAAACGCAGCACGCACCCTGCACTCTGGTTGGAAGCTAAACAGAAACCTGCCAGCATTGGCAGGACATGTGCGGGACTAGGAAATGGAGAACAATTTGAAGAAGCAGCCCCCTGTGTCAGAGGTGAAGGCAATGCAGGACTCGGGTGGAGTGGTCAAGCACAGAACAGGTACAGGTGTGGTTTCTGGGCTCATACTTTGCTTTTGGGTGCTGTGTTCAAACGAGGAAGGGGAGGGTGGTGAAGGTGGCATCAAAGTAACAGAGCTGGCACGTACTGCCACCTCACCTCTATTCTCCTGTTAGAGGGGAGAATAATTGCGCCCTGAGAAACAATGAAAGATCTGGGCACAGACAGTAAGGATGCTGTTCAAGTTTATCTGTGATAGAATATCATTTTCCAAATGTGTTCTTCGAAATTATAAAAATAGTATTTTCCCCTCAGTATATTTAACTATCCCCTCCCATCAAAATTAACAAAGTTTTTTGCTAATTTTCCTTTATGGGTAACTGTGCCTGTGTTTGCAGGTAGAAGGCAAGGCCACACCCTTTCCCCAAACCTGAGGCCACATCCCCAGGTCACAGGGACCCTCTCCGAGACAGCCTCCAGCACCTGGGCCAGGTGAGTAGGCCATATAGTCTGGGTGTCCTCTAGCCCTAGCCACTGCTGAGCTCCCAAGAATCTATAGGAGCTGCCTCTGGAGGGAGAGAAACTTCATACAACATTTGACACAGCCTGGGTGGGAGCCATGCCTTCTGACTTCTGGTTCTGTTTGCATTTATTTACTTGGGAAATGGAATGTGTGCAGATGAGGCTTAGAAAGAGAGGGACCAGCATGGCGCCTGTGTCTTCTACTTAATTGGAATGTGTAATATCCCAAAGAACGCACACCCCTGGCTGTGCCTAGGAAAACCAAAAACTGCCAAGTGTGAAATGAGGGGAACAGACCCTGCAGGGAGAGGCTCCACGGCATGAACACACACGTACACACACTGACATACGTACAGCATAGAGGAGCAGAAATGCCCTGCTGTGCACAGCTGTTTCCTAATATAGAGAATTTACAAAATATAGAATTTGGTATAGATCTCCAAGGTTTCAATAATACAAAATAAAGAATACAAAAAGACAAGTTGGGGTTCCCACCTCCCTACCCCAGTGGTATCCTCATTTGCTTGTGTGTCTCTTACACGCATACAACTAGCATAGTCTAAAGAAGGGCACAGAAAACTTGTTTTGTTTTATTTAATAAATATTTTCTTTTGCTCAGAGCCACCGCTCCTTGCTTGGTGTCCTCTTGCCTCCCCCTCATCAACAATCCTGTTTCCCTTACAGGGCACTGTCTGTGCGTGGAGGTGCGGACAGAGGATGGCACAGGCCACACCTCTCCAACTCCTGCATTCCTGCCCACAAAACACCTTCAGGGACATGGCTTCTCCACAGTGGAAAAGCAGACCCTAGAGATCCCTGGATGCCGCCAGGTCAGCTTCGAGCCTGCCTACCTACCTATCATGGCCAAGGCCTCTCCTCAGGCCAGCCACCATGTGCCATGCTGCGCCACCAACGAAGGCTCCAGTGGCAACCCCGCCATGCAGCAGCAGCACCTGTCAGAAAACTCAAGGCTCAACTCAAGTCTAGCGGAATCTTCTGCCAAGGGAAACATCTTTGGTCAGCTTGGTGCTCGCAGGACACTGGCACCCTGGGTCTTGGCCAAAGGCCATGCCCACCAGCAAAGGCAGAAGTTGCTTCTGAGTCAAAGTGGAAATTTTACCAGCACAGTTGTGAGGCTGGAGCACAGGCCCCATCTGCTCACGGTGCAAAAGAAGCTGTCCCATTCCTCTGGAGGCCAGGCTGCTGGCACCTCGAGCTGGCATCTGCTAACTGAGGGGAGGCCCTCCATTGAGGAAGTAGGTCATCATCTCACCCTTGCCCTTGACCTTGACCACACCCCGGCACTCCAGCTGGTATGTGTTGGCGGCCAGCACCTGGTACATGTCTGTAGTGACCTGAGGAGGCAGAGGGAGGGAGAGGACAGGCTGTCAGTGACCTTACCCATGAGCTGCTGTGGGCCCATCTACCTCTTTGCCTACGCCATGCTGCTGTCTTGACTTGAGAGTGGGAAGGCCCTCTACCACTGGCTCTTGGGGACAGGGAGGGGCTCATCCATGGAACCTGCTTAGGAATAGAGTGGTGGTAGTTGTGGTCAGCACTCCTCTGTGCTGGGCACTGTGACAAGCACCTATGTGGTCAGCACAGGCTTGGGTCCATTAACTGTGTGGCTTCCAGAGGAGCATTGTCCCATGGAACTCAGCAAACAGATACTGCCAATAGCTGAGGGAAGGACTTGGGTCTCCTAGAGAATGGCTCCATGATGGAGGGAGGGCAAGGCCTGGCACCTTGGACAGCACCCAACAATTCAGTTGGGCAGGGCAGACAAATGAGAGGACATTCAAATTCAAACAGTGTAATACAGCAAAAATACCTTAGAAATGGTACAATTAGCACTTGTTAGAACAGGCCAGGGAAGTTGACTTCCCACAGTGCATTGGGACCTTCAGGTGTGTGGCAGTACATCTTGTATGGGAATGGAACAAGAACCTTAAGTCTGCGGGAATTGAAGGAAGGCCCAGGGTCATGAACATGAACATGCAAAGGATGGAGAAAGGGAAGGTAATTCCCATTCCCCTTGGATGCTGATGCCATATAGACCCCAGCATCCTCACCAGGCCTGGAAAACTGCAAGCCCTGCTGGGTGACCTTTCCCTACAGTTGTCTGCTCTCCTCTACAGCTGGCTGGGGAGGCCCAGGCTTCCCATTGGCACTCTTAGGTCTCTCTGCCCCAATGTGCTCAGCAGAGGCGGCTGCACAGGTCCGGGGCTCTGTCCAGGGTAGTGAAAGTCTGACTTATCCCCGTTTATCAGCCCTGACAGCCACATCACCCTGGGATCAGAAGAGAAACTCTGAGCTGTGTGTGGCCTGCAGTGAAAAGCTCCTGGTGACCGAGGCCCTTCATGTGCATGCTGTGAGTGGTGGCTGTGCTTGGACTCACCTGGATGCGGTCAGGTACCCCAGTGCTGTCCATACGGCTGGCCACATTTACTGTATTTCCCCAGATGTCATACTGAGGCTTGCGAGCCCCAATGACCCCAGCCACTACGGGTCCAATGTTGAGCCCTGTGTGGACAGAAATCAGCCATACTTGTTAGCTTAAAGCCCACACAAACCTGGCTTGCCTTTGCTAGCATCCACCTCTTGGCACGTGGCAGGTGCTGCTAACCCCTGCTGGCCTGAAGCCAAGCTTAATCCCCCAGTCTCGCACTTCTCTGCGCAATCCATTCTTGTTAGTGCAAGAAAGCAGGGATCTGTGCACGCATCCACTGGTACTGTGTCCTTACCCCAACCCTTCCAAGCCCACAGCCATGTGTGCCCTCTTCACGGTCTCCAGCATAGTCCAATACCTTCTCCTTTTAAACATACAATATTCGTGTGTCTGAGTGTATGGCACATGCATGTGAGGGTGCCTGCAGAGGATGCTGGAGTTAAGGGTGGCTCACTGGATTTAGGTGCTGGGAACCAAAGCCAAGCACTTTGGAAGTGCTCTCTAAACACTAGGCAATCTCTCTTGCTGCCCAATGCCTTTTCTTTTTTTTTTTAATTTTTATTTATTTATTATGTATACAATATTCTGTCAGTGTGTACGCCTGCACACCAGAAGAGGGCGCCAGACCCCATTACAGATGGTTGTGAGCCACCATGTGGTTGCCGGGAATTGAACTCAGGACCTTTGGAAGAGCAGGCAATGCTCTTAACCGCTGAGCCATCTCTCCAGCCCCCAATGCCTTTTCTTAATCTTCCCTCTTGATCTATTTTCAGCAGCAATTCAAAAACCACAGCAAACTCACTCTGTCTCCCTTTCTAAACCATTGATGTTCTTGAGACCTTGCTCCTAGCCCATCTCCCTGTCCTAGTCCTGTCTCTTTCTCAAGTCCTGTCATGTGACTTTTTAACCCTACAGGCTATTTCTATGCTGGTGTGACCACCTTGCCGACCACATTGAGCTTGGTGGCACGGCCTTTGGAATAGAAGCTATCTAAGACTACTTAGCTGCCTGCTCAGTCTGTCATTCCATCCCCAGTCTGGTCAGTCCAATTGTTGAGACAATTTACAAAAGGGGAATGGGATGAGTGGAGCAACATTACACGAAACCAAGGACACAGGCTGTGTGCTGGCTACAGCAGTAGCCTGGCCCAGTCCACAAAGCAGTGTGCCCATAGGGCACAGTAAGCAACCTCTTGAGGGGTAGCCCGATTCCCGACACTTGGGCCAGAACAAAATATCTCCTGGGGACATTAGTGATCACAATATTGGTTTTTAGTGATGCAATATTTCAGTTTAATGTGCTAATTTTGAGAACTGAAATGCCAGTATTTTTGTGAATTACTGTTACTTAAAAAAAATTGACATCTGAATCATTTATGACTTGAGACATACTCAGGGAGTTGATAATGCATGAAACTTTTGACCAGAACAAAGATCTGCTCTTTAGAAAGCATTTCCACTGCTACAAATCTCAAGAGAAAGGAAGAGTGCCTCGACTGAGCTCCCTCTGCAGAATGAACTGGCAAACACACTGCAGAACAGCCCTGTGCCCTCCGGGAGCAGCACACTCAGAGCTTCAGTTCTAGAAGTGTTTTGTGGATGGAGCATGGGGCCTGTGTGAATGCAAAGATGGCTGTAGGTTTGCTCAACTCTTCTGCAGAGCTGAAACTCGAATAAAATGGTTGGAATTGATGATAGGGCTTAGCCAGGAAAGGGGCTTCCCATTAATGACCGGAGTTCAATCTCCAGGACCTACGTGGCAGAAGTTGTCCTCTGACCTCCACATGCACGTGTGTATGTATACATACACACACACACAAGCTCCGTTAAAGCCATCCCACAAGACATGTGCCAAAGATGGAGCCCAAACAGTATAACTCAGTAGAGCACTTGTCTGAAGAATGTGAGGCCCCGGGTTTAATCCTCAGATGCAGTCAAGTGAAGACACACAAGCTTAACAGCACATCACACCCTCCCTAGTGACTGTCCCAGTGTGTGTGGACTACACAGCTTTCTTTCAGAGTAGTCAACTGGCCCACACCGAGAACTCAGAAGTAACCAACCCACTCACTGTACAATAGGGGCTAGAGAAAGATCACTGGCTGCTCTTCCAGAGAACCTGAGTTCAATTCTCAGTACCCACTTGGCAGTTCACAACCATTTGTAACTCCAGTTCCAGGGGACTGACAGCCTCTCTGGACTCTGCAGGTACCAGGCGTATACTTGGTACACACACATACTGTGACAAAACCCTTCTGCACAAGAAGTCCTTAAGCTTACGCTGATTTAAAAGGCTAAAACGTGCCAGAGACAGTAGCTCACATCTATAACCACAACACTTGGGAGGTTGAGGTAGGAAGGCTGTAAAGAGTTCCTGTCTTAAAACACCAGAAAAAGCTGAAATAAAATCATCGGCCAAAGGTAGTCCACTTTTGCCATTAGAGTATATGTTCAATATACTTATAAATTTGAAAATATGCTAATAACATGCATGTTTCATATCAAACATGTAATGAGTATTTGGTTTGGCTGCTTTTCATTTTTACTGAATAAGTCTGGTGTAAGACTGGCTTGGGATGGAGCATGGGGAGAGCCCACAAGCCCCCCCCCCTCACCAATCTTCATCTGGAAGTTGTTGAAGGAGTGCTCATTGATGTACTTCATCTGGTCCATCAGCTTCATGGCTAAGTCTGCGAGAGCTTTGATGTGGGTCTTGCCGGCCTTGTCATAGGTAGAGTCGTTGAGGCCAGAGGCAGCCATGTAGGTGCTACCTATGGTCTTGATCTTTTCCAGCTGCCTGAACCGATCCTCACTGATGATCTAGACAGAAGGGGTTCAGACCTGAGTCACCCTCACATGCTGGGGCATTGAGGTTCACAGGGTGGAGGGCAAAGTGGAAGAAACACGGTAGCCTGGTTTTGTGAGTCCCCTCCTTACACAGCCAGAGCATCAATTCAAGTGGGCTCCTCCACACTGCTCCACTAGACAGGGCCTCTGGAGGACAAGGTCACTAATCATTACCAGGTCTCATGCCCTTGACAGGAGAGTTATGTGTCCCTTACTCATGAAAATCTCCCCTAATTTTATCTAGTGTCCCTTTTTCTATTTCCAGGCTTCTGGAAACTTCACAGACACTTTCACCTAACGAATCACTTGAACATCCTAGGGCAGCAGCCCTTGGAGCACTGCATATTCATCCTTCCAGACTGCACTCTGTTCCTGACCTGATGGAACTGCACAGATGACGTGCTCTGCAAGGATTTAAGGAATACATTAAGCAATGGCTTGTTTTCCTGCCTGCCTTCTTCCTTTGCCCAGGTCCCTCCTGCTCCCAAAACCCTTCCCAGATTCTGGGTCATCTCTGCCTTGGGGCCACTTGAGGCTCAAGTTCAAAGAGAAGGGCAGAAACCCCAGCTCCCACATATCCACACAGTGACCTTAGGCAGGACACTTAAGGTGTGAGGCCTTGGTTGTCTCACTGTAATCTATGCCAGGAGCCATGGTGGCATCTGGGACACAGCCAGGTTCCTGCATCAGAGCCTCTGCCAGATGGAGAAAGGGGGCAGCAGGGACATGTCGGGGCCCCGGGAGCACCTCATCAAAGTCTGCGATGATCTCATTGAGCAGCCGCAGGCACTCAACGCCCTCATTGTTGGCCTCCAGCTCCACATAGAACTCAGAGAAGTTGGCGATAGAGGCGAACATGACAGCCACACACTCGCAGGACTGGTAGTATAGCTCATCATTGCGCCGCTCGCGGGCCAGGAAGTGGGCAGCCACATCCTTGGGCAGAATGTTGTGCAGCAGGCGCCGGTTATAGGCCTGCAGCTCCTCCATCTCCTCCTTCTCCTCTGTGGCCTGGGGATAGAGGACTCAGTGAGAAGGGACAGAAATGGCCCTAAGCACTCGGTGCCAACTGGTAAGTGCCGGCTGTCTCTGCTTCTGCATGTTCTCCAAACAGTCCCACTGCCTCTGGCTAACAAAACACGTGGAAGAAGGGAGCAAAGAGTCTGCAGGTCTCCCCAAGACTGGAGCTAGCAGCTGAGAGGAGCCATGATCCAAGTCCACACTCCAAACAGCCCTCCACCACACCCTAACCCTACGTTTTCTCAAGATTAGAAAATGCAATCAGAAAAACAGTTTGCCAGAATGGCTCTACTAGACTGGTCCCTCAGGAACATGGCTCAGGTCCTGCCCATACTACTTCCCATTAGAGGAGACTTGTTTTGAAGCCAGCCAAGGCCAACCATCCAGGAGGAACGGTATCAGCCAGGGTGGGTTGGGGGCATCACCTCACTGGATTTGGTTTCCCTCAATTTGGGAAGTGGGTCTGCATAGCCGGATTTGAGCTCTTGCATGAAGGTAATGCTGACTCACATGAGGCTGAAGTGGAGAGGCGGTTTATACACAGAGGTATATAACCTAGGTAAGGAGCCTGATCAGAGTGGCGTGTATGGATTACGGAGTGGTGTCAGCTGTATCCTTTATCCTGGTGGCAGACAAAATGGTCCCCCTTCCTGGGAGTGGCTATGCAGGTTGGCGGGCAGAGAGTATCAATAACAGAGATGTTTTAAAAGATCCACCCAGTGTCTCTGGGGCTTTCCAACACAAAAAGGTGTGTTTCGGTGCAAACAGATTCTCTGGCTGGGTCATGGCTGGATCTCAGGGTCCTGGTCTTCCCTGTGGACAGTGGCTGTCCAAGAGAAGGATCTTCTCAAGGCTACAGGACCCAAAGCCAGAGGGCACGGAGAGTCCCAGGGCAGGCCTGAGAACCCCAGGTAAGAAGATCTCATCTCCACAGCTGGGTGACTTTTAGAACCACTGGAATTGTGGCTGGGAGAACTCAGGCTACACTGAGACCCAGGGACCTCTGCACACCTCCATCCTTTCTCCTGCCACCCTGCACTTCCAGGTAAGTCCAGTGGCTTGCACCGACTTCCTGCCTAACCTTTCCCCGGGGGACTTAATGTTCCTATGAGATGTCTCTCCCCATGAACAGCAGCCACCTGTGCCTGCCTCTGAGCCAGTTCTCAGCATACGCCCTCCTCCTAGGATGGCAGACAGGTGCAAAGGCACAAGGCAGTGAGAGGGTGGAGCACAACAGTCGCGTCTTCCTTGTCAGGTCTGCTGCTCGGATGTTTCTGTTATTTGATGGCTGCTGTCCTCCCAGCTCCCCAAAGCCCAGAAGAATAGGAGATGGAAAGACCTGTTAGCATCATAAGCCTGCTGATCAGCTTCAGGGGAAAGCAAACATCGGCTGGTGACACAGACAAGCCACTCACACAAGCAGGGGACACTGGAGTCAATGCCCTCCATCCCAGTGCATAGCCCTCAGAACCTGGGGAAGTCTGTGGAGGTAGGAGGCAGAGGGACGGAAGACAAGGGCAGAGGGGAAGCTTGAGGGGAGCAAGTCATCAGTCACTAGGAATGGTAGGAGGGGGTCTTGTTCCCAGGATAGCACTGGCAAGCAGAGTGAGGAGGCCTGAAAGAAGTCAGAAGCATTAGATCAAAGGGGGGGTTCTGGAAGGAGCGCATGATTTAAACATTATAAACAACTGAAGCGGTGTACACAAAATAGTATACATGCACACACGGCAGTATACATGCACACGGAGGTTCTGTCTCCATATCCATGGATACACATCTAGCTGTGTTCTCAGAGGACTGGATGAGCCACTGAGTACTCAGATCTGTTTCTAAACATGATTCTCCACCAGGAAGAATCAGAAATCCTTGAAGGGGTCACTGAATCCTGGCCTAAAGCCAGAAAAATACAGAAAAAGCTAAGGCATTGTGCTGTGCCGGGAGGGAAGGGGGTGGTTGAAGGATGGTGGAGAAGTATCCCATGGTGGCCACCAGCCAAACCTACAGTGATGTGAGCATGAAAAGAATAGGAAGGGGCAAATCATGACCCGTGGGCTTAAGGAACCGGTGATTATAGATATGTAAATGAAGTGGATTAAAGGCCAGGACAGCTCCTAAGAGTGCACTGCCACCTAGAAGGAAGGAAAGGCAGAGCAGATCATCATAGCGGGTATCTCCTGCTGGGGGGGGGGGGGGGGGCGGGGGAGGGGAGAGCAGCTTGAGAACAGGTCCTGTTATGTAGTGCTGGCTCGTTTGGTACTTGCTATAGAGACCAGGCTGGCCTCAAACCTGCAGCCATTCTCCTGTCTCTGCCTCCCAAGTACTGGGATTATAGGCATGGGCCATCATGCCAAGCTACTGACATCTCTGTGCGAGACACAGGAAAGAATCAACAGATGGCAGAGGTTGAAGATCAGAAAACTGTTGTGACATCATACTGAAAGACATACAGAGAGGAGAAGATAGGAGACCTGACGAGTGAGTCCAGAGGGCTCCTAGAGAGGGCCTGAACCAGAGTCGGAACAGCTGGCGAAACATGATGTGGCCAGAGTGCCATGGTGAGTTCCTACAGGGAGAGGGGCAGGGGGCAGTGTGGTGCCTTGCCTTGAAAGACATCCAGTGCTGATGTATGTGTGTCAGAAAGTAGAGGTGGGGTACCAAACTAGAAGAGCGGGACTGCTGGACCTCCGTATGTAGTTCTTGTAGCATTTCTGCAGATGGGAGCTTGGGTTTTTTGTTTTGTTTTTGTTTTTTCAAGACAGGGTTTCTCTGTAGCTTTGGAGCCTGTCCTGTAGACCAGGCTGGCCTCAAACTCAGAGATCGACCTGCCTCTGCCTCCCGAATGCTGGGATTAAAAGTGTGCCCCGCCACTGCCCAGCAAAGGGAGATTATTTTTTAAAACTTGCCCAGGGTTGGGGAGAGACCCCAGTCCTAAAATGTTTGCCTTGCAACCAAAACGACTTGAGTTCAGTCCCCACAGCCCGTGTGTTTTTGTTGTTTGTTTCACTGGTTGTTTTTAAAGCCAGGCATGGTGAGATTAGCTTTGGATCCTAGCACCCCCAGGTGAAGATAAGCGGATCTCTGGGACTCACGTCCATTCGTGCATCCGCATACACACTTGCATCCATCCGCATGTATGAGAAAACACAAACACACAACAAACCAAACACAGAGAAAAATATGAAAAGGGCACCAGGGGTGTGGGGTTCCAGAGAGGAAACCAAAGGGAAAGATAACCTACTGTTCCTACGGCCCGGTGGGACAGAGCGGAAGGACACTAGTGACAAAGGAGGACTAGAAGCTTAAAATGACTTTAGTTTAGTGAAGGGCCTCTGGCCAAAGTGACAGTCTTGTCCCTCTCCCCAACACAGTCCCCCTTGCTACAATGGAGAGACAGGGATCGCCACTCAGCCAGGGAGGGTCAGACCACTGGAGCTGGGAGGCCTCGGCTCTCGCAGGAACAGTGCTTCCCACCCTTTCTGGATCCCAGGGCCTTCACTGGCTGCAGCTGTGCCACCCAGCAGAGGCTAGAGACGGGCTACCTCTTCTTAAAGCCTCCGTGACACAGCAGAGGAGCACGGTGGCGACCATCTTGGGAGTGGCACCCTGGGGAGCCATGCAGGAAGACAGAGGTAGAGGTGTGAGCACAAAATGGAAGGGCATGGGCTCTAGGTCCCACAAAACCTGCTTGACTCTGGGAACTTTCTCAGAGAAGAGGGATGACAGTTGGTACCTCAGCTCACTACAGCCAGGACTTTAGGAGGGTACATTCCCCAAGGGAAAACAGATAGCAATGCTCCGAGTGCCCAACTGAATGCTTTGCTACCCATCAAAGCTCAGCCTGCCACCCCTGCCTGTGCTTCCGCCTGGTGACACACAGGAAGTGTGAGACAGTGCTTTGGACCCCAGTGTACAGTCTGGACACTGTCCAGGTGGGTGTACCTAGAACCCTTTAGGGCAGCCCCTGGAGAGCAGGGAGCAGACCTGCCAGCACAGGGCAGTCAGACAGGATGAGACCAAAACAGGGTACCAAGTGCCAGGGAGTTCACTGAGGCCAGCTGCGTCCCTGTGAAGCTCTAGTCCAGGGCCACCCACCTGCAGTTTCCACAGGAAGTCAAGGCGAGCGGTGGACTCCACCTGCTGGGCATGAAGATACAGAGCCAGCACGAAGACAGAGATGACGATGGGTGTCACCACCTTCAGCGCCACCTTGGTCGCATGCTCAGGGCTGTCAATGAGAGGTAGGCAGGCTTGTGCTCACCCTGGTACTTCAGTAGGCTCTGAGGACTCCCCAGCCTCTTCCTCCCACAACAGCTCTCAGTCCTCCCCCTGCTCCTCCCCTCCTGTGCAAGCTCCCTGAGGCGCCTCCTTCAGGAAACCTTCTGGCAGTGGGGGCAGTGGTTTCTCCTGCCCTCATGCCTTATAGTCTTGTCACTGGGTGAGCTCTCAGCTGTCCTACAGAGCAGCAGCAATGGCAGAGTCATGGTAATCAAGGCTAGCCTGATGGCCGTGTCTCTGGACAGTTGGGCAAGTCAAGCCTGTAATCTTACCCTCAGCGGTAAAATGGGGTGATACCCCCATTTCCAAACTTTAGTAAGGAGAAAGATGCTGTACAGCGTGCTCCGTGAGGTACCAGGCATAGAGCAGGCCTCCCCAAGTGGAGGCTGTCACTGGATAGCCATGTTCCTGCTCATCTGGTGCACGTTCACAGAGAGTTCTCGTTCCAAACCTGCTCCATGTGTAGCACAAAGCCCAAACCCTGAAAGCTGGGACTGACTCCTGCCCACCCCTCCTGGATGTAGGGCCAGCCTCACAGCCTGTGCCTAACCTGCACCGGGAGGGAAGCAGGCTCTATCCCTAGTTCTATGATAGAGGATTGAGCTCGGGGGGTCCTGAGTGGAAGCTGGGGGAAGCTTTAAAGCAATCTTTGGGGGATCGTCTTAGGTCAGATGAAACTGTCATGGAGCCTTCAGGGCACCTCTCAGTATGGAAATCAAAACAGTCCAGGGGCTGCCTGACTCCAGGCCTGGCTGCCCCTGATCGAGGGCCTCCTTGCCTGCTCCAGCTACCTCCTCCACTGCTCCTGATCACGAGGCCCCTCCTACCTGGGAGGCTGGGGCCCTATCACAGAAGGGTATCCACTCACCATTGGGAAGTCCCGTTGTTGCTGAAGTCTCTGTGAAGAAAAGTTGGGGAGACTGCTCAGCCTCCAGGCTCCCCTGACCCCCAGCCTCTGCTGTGTTCCCAAAGCTCTGCTGTTGCCCCTACAATGCTTGGCCCTCCTCAGCCAAGGGCCCTCTGAGCAGTCCGGCTGCAGAAAGCTCATCTTAGCCAGCACCTGGTCTCCCTGACCAAGGCTGCTCAGTTCTTACCCAAGACCCTGTCTGTCCCCTCCCATAGCCACCTGCCTATACTGTCTCAGGCCTATGCTGCCATTCGGAGGAGTGGAGGGGAACCCTGCACCTGCGCCTTCCCAGATGGCCACACGGCCTTGAAATAAGGGAAGAGCAAATTAAAGGAGGCTGTGCACGTAAATACACTCTAAATATATCAGGGGAAAGGTAAAATAGTTTTCTAATAATTAACAATTGGTTACATCTTTTAAAGATGGATATAGTGGCTATATAAAATTGTTATTAAAATTAATTGTACCTGCTGGGTGGTAGTGGCACATGCCTTTAATCCCAGCACTCTGGAGGCAGAGGCAGGCAGATCTCTGAGTTCGAGGTCAGCCTGATCTACAAGAGCTAGTTCTAGGGCAGGTTCCAAAGCTACAGAGAAACCCTGTCTCGGAAAAAAAAAAAATTAATTGCACCTTTGGTCTGAGGCGTTGCTCAGTGGAAGGGCACTTGTGCAGTACAGACAAGCTTCCATCCCCAGCACCACAATAAAAAGCTACTGTATTTTCTTGCCTTCTAAATTACAGCTACTGGAAAAAAATTTAAATTGCACACATGGCTTGCATTATTTATTTACTGTATAGCACTGCCTAGAGTCAAACAGGGTCACTGGACAGTGAAGGCCTCCACTGTCTACTTCTACCCCAACAGAGGAAGAGAGAGGGGAGCGGGAGGAGGAGGGGAGGGAAATAAAAAGAAGCCAGTATGCTTGGCTCCAAAGCTGGGAGCATTGGCTCCTAGCCAGGTGGAGGCAGGAAGATTATGAGTTCAAAGCCAACTTCCAGTACCCATTCTTCATGACAATGCCTTCCTGTCATCTGCCCACACAGCCACCAGAAATTCCTGCCTGACTCTGACATCCAGCCTCAACTTTCTCACATGGTGCTCTTGTGGCAAGACAAGGGCATTTCTGCTGGATCACCTGTTCTGCCCTGCCTGTCTCCACCCGACTCGGGATCTGCTCCTCACAGGCCCTCAAGAATGAAAGAACAGCTGAGCAGATGAGCAGACGAATCATTTGCCTTCCTTAGCCCCTGCAGAAGCTGGCCCTGCCCTACACCTGAGGTGAGCACTGACTAGCCAACTAGAGACAGAGAGGGAGGGGCCTCGTCACCTGTGGCATCCCCGACATGGGAAGAGGAAGGGGGGGGGCACAAGACCCTACGACCCCGTGTGATCTGCCTTCCTTGCAGGTGCCCTGTGCTGCCAGCACCCAGGCTCCTGCCATCCGTGCCACCCCGGACTCTCCCCAGATCCAGCAGAGGACCGAAGAAGGTGCTGCATACATGGCATTGGCGGTGACCAGCAGGTCAGCGTTGTCAAAAAGGGTGACGCCGGGCACCTCGACGATGAGCACATAGATGAACTCGATGGCCAACATGAGCACCAGCTTCCCGATGCAGCTGATCTGCAGGAACACGGAGCAGGCCAGCAGGCTGAGCAGCACACTGTAGGTGAAGTACTGGAGAGAGAGGGCCCGTCAGATCCCAGGAGGCCCTGGCCTCGCGGGCCCCTCCCCACCTTCACCTGATCTGGGGGTGGGGCTGGGAGTAAGTCAGCCTGTCTAGGAAACTGGAAGTGGACCCAGAAGTTGGTACAGATCAACTGTCAACAGATTAGCAGATCACTGGCATAGCTCCAAGCTCAAGCTGACCTGACTCACCCTCTCTGAGCTTCAGTTTCCCTGTCAGTAAAGCTCCCTTTCATATATGTCCATCCATGGACACCAATGATGCTATGCCTGGCACCGGCAGCAACTGCAGGGAACAAGGGCCCCCCCTGAGCTGCAGTTCAAACATCGACACACAAGGACTTTCAGAATTCCCCCAGCTGAGGGGACACCTGGAACTAGCCTGCCTAACAACATGCCAGAGGGGAAGTGCCACCTTCACTCCACGTCCTGTGACTGTTCACACACGTGACTGCAGAGGCAGTGCTGTGTGGCCATCACCTGCCCAGCCTCTTCTGTGGGCATGTGGGAAACAACCTCCTAAAATCTGAGAGCGTCTGTAGGCCCAATACATTGGTTCTAAATGCAACTTCCCAAGAGAGACCACCTGGCCCTGCACTATGACCCTGGAGCCTCTCTCTGTCCTTTGCTGGCTGAGGGGCTGAGCCAGCTGATCTTAGGGCCCTCATGGATCTTTCATGTCCTGGTTCCAGTCTTTAGCATCTGTTCTTTGGCTCTTTACATCCGGGACCATTATTTCTGAGTTTTCTCCACTGTCACTGTTTCAACAGCATCTCTGCCTCTGGGCTGCAGCCGGCGTGGTAGCTGTGAGCAGCCCCGGGCTTTCAAGAGTCAACAGAGGTACTATAAAGGGAAGGTCCCTGGTGATTAGATGGGTTGCAGAACAGCCTAAAGTCAGCACCAGCATCAGAAAGGAGAAGACAGGAGAAGCCTGCCCAGATAATTCAATGCTAGAGTCCCATCTACCCGTCTTGTAGAGGGAAGGCTCTTACCATCCAGCCAGTACCTGGTACAGGATAGGCACTGCCTACACCTCAGCTATGCCGTGAACGCTGGCTTTGTAACAAGAAGGCTCCTGGGGTATGGAAGGGACTGGAAGAAGGGTCCTTTGTGGCTACCACCTTGCCAGATCTGTGGGGCCAAGTGGGGAAGGGCAGGAATGTCTGCTTCTGCGGCCATCCCCACACCCTGTCTCCATCTCTCGAACCTCTGGGAAGTTGCAGTTGGGCTGGGGGCTGCCACAGAAGCCCTGCTCGTCACCCAGGCTGTAGTTGAAGGTCGACTCCATCACATGACACGCGTTGACCTGGTTCACCGTGATATTGTACTCCGTTGCCAGGCAGCCCACCAGGTTCTTAGAGTTGCACATGAACTAAGAGGAAGGGGGGATTGAGGTTGCTCAGCCCCTGCAAGCCAGGCTATGGAGGCCCATCCCACATGATGGTGGGCAGTACCAGTCCACCCTGTCTCCAAAGCACGGCTGTACATACACCAGGAACAAAAGAGGCACCCGAAGGACAGCCTTGCTCTGGCTACAGACATGGCCTTGTAATCCACACTGGGGACATCCCCTGTACTCCTTCTAGTTTGAAAACAAGGAACTGAAAGCCAGTGTGAGATGCTAACGACAGTCAAATTAGACCGCAGCCTGAGACGGGACATGAACTTCCAGGGAAATGCTTCCCCTGGTCAGCCACGGGGCTCCACTGGTTTGAACCCGCAGAGCTAGGGAGGCACCTGGAGGCTCTGGAGGTACCCACCATGTTGACAAAAGCCGAGAGGAACACCAGAATGATGGTGAACACCCCAACCAGGGTGCTGTTTGTCTTGGATCGCACGATCTTCCTGGAGAGTGTCTGCAGGGGAGTGGGGAAGAGCTGGGAAGGAAGGGGAAGACACAAACAAAGCAGAGTTCAGTCAGTACCCTTCAGACAGCCCTGGAGCTCACTGGCCACACCCTGTCCTTGACAGGCTCTCCAGACTTTCCTGAGCTCCTCTAGGGTTGCACAGCCCTAGCCTCACAGTACTGCCCGGTGCTACAGCCCACCAGTGTCGGAGACTCAGCCCTGGCCAGGGGGACAGCCAATGGCATGCAGCCCACAGGTGACAGAGGCAGGATGAAGGAAATGATGCTATCCTGACCAGATAGGAAATGGCAGGAAAGCCTGCCACCTGTGGTGGGGGCCTGAGCCTTGGGCTACAAGCAGGGAGAACATTGGGTGTCTGAGGAGTCGAGATGGGGGAGGCCTTCCTGGGAAGCTTCATGGGAGGAATGGAGAGTCAGAGAGGGAGGGCCCTCAGAGGAGGAGAGGGGCCTGGAAACAGGAGGGCATTGGGCGAGCATTTTCTTCAGCACGAAGGTTCCATGGAGCCGCCATTTGGCTTACCCAGATCCTCCTATATCCTCCCTAGTGAGACAAGCCGTACATCTGCTCCCAGACCCTCTGTGTTTTTAGCAACCAAATGACAGCCTGCTAAGCCCGTCCTGTCACCAAATCTGACACACTTCACTGGCGTCATATACCACACCCTCCTCATCTGTTACAGAACCTAGACTGACAAAGACGTTGACAGAGCAAAGCAGGGGACCTGGACTTCTACAGTTCTACCACCTCGGCTGTCCCGGTGAGGCCAGTCTGCTGCCAACAGGGCAAGTGACCTTGGAAACCCCCAAGGACAGAGGGTGGTGGGTGTGGAGGGGCATGGGAAAGGAGGCAAGAAGCTGTGCTCTGGGCTGGTCTGTCCCCTGTAACCCTGAGCAAGCCACACTACTTCTTGGAAGGATGTCTATCTGTCTGGGCACCTTAATTTTTTTGGTTAAGGAGAGGAGACATCCACAGGTCCTCAGCACCCCTGGACATTTCAAGAGTATGCCAGGCCACCAGGTCTATATGTTACCTAATACTGAGGGCTGGTAAGTTGACATCAGAAGCTACCTCCCCCGTGCTCCGAAAACAGAAAAGAAAAAAAAAAAAAACAGGTAAGTTCATTCTCATGAATTAAAAGATTTTGTGGAGAAAAAAAGTTCAAGAAAGCAAAATGAATACTAATAAAATGAGGGGACCTCAGAGCACCCATGCGCTGCTGCAGGAATGGCCAGATAATGCTCCTGCTGTGGGCGGGCTGCAGAGGTATCTTAAAAATTAAGGGCAAATTGTATTCAGCACTTCCAGCCCTGGGTTTTTACACAGAATTACTGGAAGCAGGGACTTGAGCAGACCTTTGAGCATCCAAGTCCACGGCAGCATTGCTTCTAATTGGGTGGAGATGGAAAAATTCTCAGATGTCCGTGAAGTTAAAAGGAAAATACGCTGCAGCCACAGGGTGCATGTACTGGGCCACGAGACGGAACGACCTGAGGGCGCTATGATGTAGGGGAGCCTTGGAATCATTATGCTAAGTGAAGGAAGTCTCAAAGGGCAATCTATTGTAGGAGCCAACCCCTTTGTATGCGGTATGGAGAGCATGCAAATTCAGTGGACTAGAGGTTACCTATTACTGCCGGAGGGGCACAAGGAAGAAAACAAACATGAGGCTTCTTTTATAATGATGACAGCATTCCAGAATTAGTACCAATAATTGCATATACTAATACACCCAAGACTCGTATATTACAAATCCGTCTGCCTTTATACAGGTACATTGTATGGAATGTGACTTGGCATCTTCATACAGCCTTGTTCCATCTCTTCAGCAGCCCCAGTAATCCTGGGGACACTGTTAACTTCTCTGAGCTTTGGTTTCCTTATCGGCAAATGGGGACTGCTGTCTCATTTGAAAAGGCTTTGTAAGCTCTTCCGTGTGGTTTGAATGGGAAATGTCCCTCACAGGCTCTCACATTTGACACTAGGTTCCTGGGTGGTGGCTCTGTTTGGAAATGCGGTGGAGCTGAGGGGCAGTGAGGAAGGGCGGGGGTGGGGTGGGTCTGCTTCTGCCACCTCCAGCCCCGCCCTGGGGACCCACTTGGAAGTCCTGAGCATTGCCCAGGCTGTAGTTAGCTCTCTATTGCCTTGATGAACCCCACGACAAAGAGCAACCTAGGGAGGTTCATCACTGACAGAAGTTAAGGAACTCTGGAGACAGGAATCTGGATGCAGAAACTGGTGCAGAGGCCATGGCGGAGTGCTGCTACTGGCTTGCTCTCCACGCCTTCCTCAGCCTGCTTCCCTATACCATCCAGGACAACCTGCCCACAGCAGTGGGCTGGGTCCTCACTCCTACATCAATCATTAATAAATTGCTCCACGGGCTAGCCTACAAGAAATATTTTTCACAGTTGTGGTTCTTCTCCCCAGATAACTAGCTTGTATCAAAAAAACTAAACTAAAAGACCCAGCTGCATAGCTGAGTGTTCTCGCTGGCTCCTGTGTCCTGCTGGAAGATGCCAGCCTTCTGCATTGAAGCTGTGCTGAGGTGCCACAGGAAGGCACAACAACTGGACTGGGAGAAAGGGAGCCGCCATTCTTTCCCACTGGTAGGCACGGGCCTGGGCTTCTTCCTAAGACAATAAGGTTACTACAGAGACACCGATGGAGCAGCTGGAATGGGCACAGAAGGGAGCGGCTGTACCCAAGACACGTGGGTAAGTGTGCGGTCACTGGAGGTGACCAAGATCAGCTGGCTTATCTTATGCAGAGTCCAGGTAAGGGATTTTGACCTCAGCAAGATGGCAGGATTCCCACTGCTTAGGGCCCTCCATGCTGAGATTCTCTGAGTCTGGGATAGTGAGTGATAGTGGAGAGGGGCCTAGTGTTTTTTTTTTTTTTCAAAGAAGAAGAGTACCAGAAATGCCAAGAGGGGCAGGAAGGCTAAATGTTGATTTGCCCTCTATGATAGTGGCAGCAGAAAACAGACTGGATGAGGCATACTAGGGGCTGTGGGGGCTCCAAAACAAGCTGACACACTGAGAAGTGAGACCAGGCCTGGGGACAAGATGAAGAGCCCAGCACTGAATCAACCTTCTCAAGAAGTCTAGATGTCTGTGCACAGGCTGAAGGTAAGCCAGAACCCTTCATACAGGGAAGGGAAACCCTGGCACCCAGGGAAGGTGATCAATCGACCTACTCTGTCCTCAGGCATCTCTTGGCAAAGAGGACAAAGGATGGACAAATTAACAAAGGAAGCCTGGGTGTTTGTGGGAGATAGAGAAGCAAATGAAGTAAAGCGGCCTGGCTGCGGCTCACCAGAGCCTATGCTATAGAAACTGAGGAATTACCACATCTGAACCCCGGCCTGCTCAAAAGCTGAAATATGATGGGGAGATTTAGGCATCCTTTTAAAAGGGGAATGCTTTCCAAGGGCAAACAGAATGACCATGAGTGTCACAGTCCAGCTAGCTCTGGTCAATACCACACAAGGTGATATGGTAACAGTTAACTCCTTCTAACCCCAATCAGCGTTCCAGGAACTCGGTGATAAGATGGTCTGCACTCTGGAGGAAGCATTTAATATTCCCTGCTATGTATCTGCCCAAAGGTAAGCATTCTTTTACATCACTGTTCTGAGATAGGCTCTCACATAGCTCAAGCTAGCTTCAAACTCACTACGTAACCAAGAATGGCTTTGAACCCGATTCTCTTGTCTTCACCTGAGATAACAGGAATGCACCACCAAACCTGGTTACCTCTTACACATCGTAATGCACAGTCAGGTTTTAGTGCACAACATAAAGGAAGGAAGAGGAATTCAGTGGAAATAGTTTGTAATGGAAATATTTTCTCCTGTTGGCTTCTGCTTTGCAGAGTAGGAACAAATGAGGAAAATCTGGCTGACCAGAGGAAGTAGGGAAGGAGGCAGCGGGAACAAGGGTGAGGAGTTCTGTCTACCTAACGTGTGATTGCTAACCTGGAGCGGCAGCTTCCAGAGTTGACAATATGTGGGGTTTTCTCAACATAGATGCAAAGGAACTGAGTTCAGCAGGCAACTCACAACCATGTGTAACTCCAGCTCAGGGAATTCACTGCCCTCTGAAGGCATCTACACACACACACACACACACACACACACAATTTAAAAGGAAAGTCTTTTCTTAAAAGGATATGTTCTCTATAGAATTTAGAAAAGATAACTTAAAGAGTTTTTTAGCTATGGTATGCTTTAAACAATTGTGCTTATTTTTGAAGACAAGTTATCACTATATAGCTCAGGCTAGCCTTGAACTCTCTATCTACCTGCCTCAGCCTTCTGAGTGCTGGCATTACAGACTTGTGCTAGAATGCTCTATCTGTTGTAATGTTTTTATTGTAGTGAAAATACCACGTAAAGCTTGCCATTTCCGTCACTTTGATGTAGCACCCATTACAGTCACAACACTGTAGCCATCACTGCTACCTGTCGCCAAAATTCCTTCAGCACTCCACACAGAAACGTTACCCACTAAGCAACAACACCTCCCCATTCCGCCTGTGTGCGTCACCTCTAGTCTACTTTCTGTCCTATAATAGAAAATTCCATATTTGAAATAATACCAGAGTTGCCTGGCTTCTTTCACTCAGCAGTGTCTACAAGGTCCATCTGCATTGCATGTGACAGGAGACTGCTCCCCTAGGCACTCAAACATTAGTCTATCACAGTTATGTGCCACTGTTTTATTTTTTTGCCCTCTGATGATGGACACTGAGCTGCTCTCACCTTTGGCGTCTTATTATGATGTCCATGAATGAAGAAAGTGAATTTATTTACCTTTCTTCCTATTTTTTATGATTTATTTCACTGTCTATTAGGGCCAAACAGGCCTAGCAGTCTTGACAACTCCAAGGCCAAAGCAGGAGGTGATTGAAAACAGAGCAGGAGGTCCCAGCCTGGAGGAAGGACAGCCAGTGCTCGCCTTTCACTGCAGTGAGCCACCCACACATAAGAGACTGACCTCGAACCCACACACATAATTCCTGAGGTCCTTACCAGACCTGACAGCCACTCCACCAAGACTTTTGACTATGGAGCAACTAAGCAAATAGATTAAGGAAGGGCCCTGTTTTGAGGGTGGAGAGTCCTTGACTCCCTACTGATGGAAATGAGGGAAGGGGGCAAAGGATTTCAGGGCAAGGGAAACAAGCCTAGATAATTCCTAAGACACACATATGGCCCGGGGTCAAGTAAGGCCTAAAGATACAACTTAGACAGGGGCATGCTATGCCCAAGAGGAATGGAAGATAGAATATACAACAGGAAGCCATGCTCCTTGGTGTCCCCTGTGTGGCGCTCTCTGGGGCCATATCCCTCATGTGCACGCTAGGCTCATCCCTAATCTCAGAGAATGTCCCTTCTAGGGCACCTGGGCCACTGAAGGCTATGTCTAGGGGTCTCCTCCACACACATTCTGAGAATGTTCCCAGGGTACTTGGGCCACTGAAGGCTTTGACACTGAAGCAGCAATGGCAACCTTGTTGCAAAGATCAACCTGGGCTTAAAGAGGCGGCAGATAGGAACAGTCTGTAGTCTCCAGACAGGCTTGCCGTCAGTGCCAGTCAAGAGATGTGGACCAGCATCACACACTCCCTTGTCCATTAACTAAGCCAAGTGTGACGCTCAGGTCTTGACTGTGGCCTCTGCCACTGGTAGGAGGCCCTCTGGACGGCATGTGGAGGGAGACTTACCTTTACACAGGCGTAGATCACGGACACAAACACCACCAAGGCCAGCAGCAGGAAACACGACAGGTAGAAACTCAGCATGAACAAGGAGCTGGGGGAATTAAAATGGTGAGAAGGAGCCGCACCCTAGTAGGAGGCATCCAGGGCTGTCTGTGTCTCTTGGGGCTAGCAGCTCTGAAAACAGTTCCATTTCTCCAAAAGCCAACTGCTCCATCCTTTCATCCCAAGAAGAGCTCTCTCAGCAAGGGCCCATGTAGGGCTATGTTGTAATATGGTCCATTCCTGCTCTCCCCACCCTCCGGCCACCCTCATGGGGGAGCTACAGAACAGCTGGTCAATAGTGTGCCTCGTAGCGATTCTCAGGGTGCTCAGGCAGCATGGGAGAACTTATTTAAAAGTCGCCTGATTATCCTTACTCATCAGCACTCACGGGTTGATAACAGGGCCAAAAACAGACCCGGTAAGTGGCTGTCACATCAGCTGCTCCTCTCTGAGACAGCGTCACGTGTATATCTAGCCCCCATCCCTTTCCATTGTCAGGGCCCCACAAAGAGCCCTGCCCAATCTTAGTTCCCTGATTCTTAGGCAGTCCTGGTTTCCCTGAGGAGAAGAGAGCAGGCCATAAGGGAAGGAAGCCTCAGACAAATGAGCTGCGAATGTTCTTCCAGGAACCCTCACTGCCCTCCCCGGGGCAAGAGCTTGTCTAGGTACAGCACACACACAAGGCTGCCGGGGGTGGGGATGGCCTCCAGATGCCAGGCATTGTTGGCAGGTTGTAGGCTATTGGAGGGGAATACTGAGCCCTCCTGGGGAGGGAGCACCTCACTCCTGGCTTCCACGAAAAACAGCTCTCAGCCGACGGCAACAAGGGGAGAATTCTTCTGAGGGAAAGAGAGAGTCTCAAAGTGACTGTTAAGGCTTCCCCAGTGGGCATGGTTGGAATGACCTGAGTCAACACGTTGGCCAGCTGGAGCTGTGGCCACAGGCAGGAATGACGCTAACCACTGTAAATAGGGCAGGGAGCTGGCATGGCCCCAGCCTTCAGCCTTGCTGCCCTAAGAGCCAATGACAAAAGGGCAGGACTGTGCACTTGAGCTAACGGACTGCCAACTGCAATGGGACAGAAATTCTCATTGATATACATGGTTATTACCTATACCACGTTTAAAAAAAAATGGGGTTGAATGACCATGAGGACCCACAGTTCCACGGCTCTGAGCAGCCTCCACGCAGGGTTAGCCAGCTGCCAATATCTGGTTTTCACCTGAGGTGTCCTGAGAGTCAACAGACACATATGAAGGGGCATCTTTACACAACAGATGCCATAGAAATAAAAAGTGTTAAGAAGGCAGAAGTAGGGCAAGCAGGATGGCTCAGGTGCTTGCCAACCAGGCCTGACTAGCTGAGTGAGTGCCATCCCTGGGACACAGATAGTGAAGGGAAAAGAGCCAACACTTGAATGGCTCATGAATGTTTGTGTACACATGTGCACACACACACACAATACATAAATGTAATTTAAAAATGTTTAAAAGAAGGCAAGTGAACAATCTGTGGCTCCTCTGATTAAGATGCTCTGGGAAGGACAGACACGTCACCCATGCTGGGAGAAGGTTATTGCAGCCACGGGAATCTAGTCAGGAGGCCCTCAGACACTCCCAAATGAAAACATTCTGCAAACCACCTGGCTGGAGTCTCAGTAATACAGCCATGGCCACAAAGACAAACCAAGCTACAGAATTATCTCCGACTTGTGAAGAGCTAACTGTAGTGTGGGGACCCGGGCAGGGAAGGAGGTACAGCTAACTGCACTGTCAGACCCGGGCAGTGTGGCTTCTGGAACAGAAAAAGGGCACAAAGTGGGGAGGAAATGGGAATTGGGTGTATGGGTCAGCAGGCTGAGTATGGTTACCGTGGTAACTTGTGAAGGAGGCTGTCGACATAGGGGGAAATGCAGGGAAGCTATGGACAAGCTCACCATGCAACTTCTGCAGCTTCTCAGTGGCCCTACAATTATTTCAAAGAGAAAAGTAAAGTTTGGGTCGGGGACACCTCAGATCAAAAGTGGCTTAGACCCTGACTAGAAAGTAGGAAGACATTTGGACATCTGGGGAATAGTTTTGGAAATTTGGTACTAGGTGATAGGAAGAACTGTCGTTGGTTTTAGTTGATGTGTCAGATACTATGCATAAGGGGAAAATGTCCTTAAAATAGATTCTATTGCCTATGGGAGAGAAATGTCTGTAAGTTAATTTTTAAAAATCAGAAAAAATCCAGGCAATGGTGGTTATCCACCACCACTAATCCCAATACTCCAGAGGCAGAGGCAGGTGGAGCTCTGTGAGTTCAAGGCCAGTCTGGTCTACAGAGTGAGTTCTAAGACAGCCAGAGCTACACAGAAAAATCTTATCTCAAAAAAAAAAAAAATCAGAAAGAAGTAGCTGAAACTAACAAGGGCAAGGAGCGGCAGTTGTTTGTGTGACTCCCATGTGCTTGAGTGATCAGATGTACACATATATGCACACATACATGGGACAACACACTTCTCTCCTAGGTGTGACTCCTGTGAATTACTGTCATCTAAACCTCATTTCAAAAACTCTCTGTCTGCTCCCAGGTGTCCTGAGTGAGCTGGTCAGTCTTTGTTAGAGTTCCAGTGTGCCTCTTGGTAAAAGGCCTTCCTGATGCCCCTGCTTTAAAATACTTTTCAGTAGTAGAAAATTGTATCTTTTAAAGATATAAGACAGACAGATACACACACACTTTTTTGTGGGGCAGGGCGTGCGGGAGCTAAAGGTCACCTGGCAGATGCTTTGGGTGACTTGACCAGGTCTGAGAGGAGGGTGACAGAAAGGGGTCTCTTGTACAGCTAAGAAGTGCCCAGTGAGGTCTCCACCTAGGGATTGAGCACTCACCTCCCCAGCCCAGAGGTAAAACCCCTGACTTCCTAGATCCACAGAGGAAACTAGGAAACCTCCCTCCCAGCCTGCACACCAGACCACACTTCCTTCTCTGTTCCCTTCCCACTCTGGGGGCTCTGCAGCCAGAAGAGGGAGTGGGGGGGGAGGATACTTACTGGGGCACCACGGTGACCTGGACAAAGCAGATGAAGAGGAAAACAAGGGAGGCACAGGCCACATAGGCACCAAATCGGTCGTCCACCTGCTTGGAGTACTGAGAGGGATGTGCACAGTGAGCTCGGGTGGCCCTGCCCACTGTCTGCTACAGCACAGCCAATCCTAGTAGCCCAGTCCCCAGGATACCCTACTCCAGAACGGAGAGCATGTGGAGCCCAAAGCTAGGTTAGATGGAGGGCAGTCAGTGTAAACACCTGTATGGTAGAGCCTATGTGAAGGTGACAGAGGCTTGGGATTGCTAACCAGTCATTTTATGCGGGCTCACCCACCCGCACAGTGCACCCACGGGGACCCCTGCTGTGGTTTCTCCTTCCAGGAAGCGCTCACCTCACTCCGGGAGCTCCTGTGACTTATTCAAGGTCCCAACTCCCAGTCTCACCTCCTTCTGTGACACCACCCAGCTACACAAATGCTGAGGGACACATCAGTCAGGTCTACTTTCCTTTTCCATAGCTGTGCTTTGCTAACCAGGTCTTCCTCGCTTAATGCTGGCAGTGGCTCCTACGAGGCCATTTCAACCAGATGCTGCTGCATAGTGGGGCTTAGGGTAAAGGGAAGTGCCTGGTGGCCCTGTCACCACTCCACTGGGTGGCCCATTGGGCTGTTCAGTCGAAGGTGGGACAATGCAGCACCTGGAGGTTCTGATGGGCCACATGAAACCGGCTGGTTTCATGATCACAGCAATGTTATGAACACATTTACAACACCCTCTGTGTGGTAGACACCACTGTGTGTGTCTGATAGAGCTCAATCGGTCCTCACTCTGATCATGAGGCAGGTAAATATCTCCAGAGAAGGAAACTGAGGCACAGCAATAATAAGATCTATTCCTTTCAACCAAGGAAATCTCTTCAGAACTCCATCCGGGGTTCTAGTGTGGCCTCACAGGTTAGGACACTGGCTCTGGGGGTGACAGGAAGCCATTCTGTGGGCTGCACCCTGTGCCCTGTCTTGGTTCTGCTGGGGTCCTCTCCTGTGGCCATACCTTCTTCTCTAAGTCGGGCTCCCTGAAGGTCAAGAGGAACTTGCGAACATGTTCAGACCGCAGTCTGTCAATGCTCCTGGCATCAATGGCGCGGCCCAGAAACTCGTCCACTTCATCCTCAGGGTTGGCACTTTCCTGGGCATTCCTGGAAAGCAAGGGGCAGACAGACATAGGCAGGCTGACACCCAGGGACACTGTCACATGGGTAGCTCTGCATGGCCATATTGGCTGGCCAGAGACACCTGGCAGACCCCCTGAGAGTTGGAAGGGACAGTGGGGACTGAGACCAGGCTGTGTTCTTAACTGCACATGACAGAAGGTACCCAAATCCCAGAGGACCTTGCTGGCATTATAGATTACTATTGAAAATTTAATTGTGTTTGTTTTGAAACAGGGTTTCCCTGTGTAACTGCCCTGACTGTCCTGGAACTTGTTCTGTAGATCATTCTGGCCTAAAACTCAGAGATCCACCTGCCTCTGCCTCCCAAGTGCTGGGATTAAAGGCATGTGCCACCACTGCCTGTCTGAAGATTTTGTTGTTATTCTAACATATAAGCCTCTTTCTTTACCCTCTAGCTGTCTCCTCATCCTTGGGTGGGCCTCCTACCACAGGGACCATGGTCCAACTGCACTTGAAGCAGGAACAAGATCCCCTTGGGAAGCATCCTTACGGTGCCGCATTTAGAAGTCTAATTTCTCACAGTGGAACCTGGTCTCCGAGTACAGTCTGGCAGTCTCGAGGACTGGGGAGCACAAGAGGAGGAAGAGAATGTTCTCTCCGGATACTGGGTACACTCAGGCCCTGCTGCCAGCGTGCAAGGTCTGCATTTTCCTGGGGGAGCTGTGAAGAGAGAGCGCAGCCTCCCGGGCTGCTGCTCCTGTCCCTGCTCAACATCTGGAGCATGAACGGGTCAAGGGAGGAGGGGGAAAAACGGGCATGCTACTCACTTGTCCTTGGGGTCTTCAAAGCCCTGAAGGAGAAGGAGAGAGAGGAATGTGAGAATAGAGAGCCAGGAGCACACGCAGGCCTGCGATGGCCACTGAGTCCATCAAGGTGGCTGCATCTCATGGCTCTCTGCCGGGGGGCACCGTGATGAACAGAGGATGACTTGGTGAACACAGTGGGTCCTTCCTAAGGCACAGACTCGGTGCTAGATGCCAGGGTGCATTGTGACTTCATCCTATCCACTGTCACAACGCCCACCCCCTCCCCCATGACTCCTTATATTCTTTGGGCCACTCCTCCTTCCTCCTGAGCCCTGGCTTGAAGAGAAATTGCTGAGCTGCTCAAAACTTGACATGTGTCCACACTCAACACCACACCCATGCACATGTGTCCACATTCAACACCCACCTGCTCATGCGCACCTGTGCACATGCATGCGCGCATGTGTGCACACACATCACATAAAACAAAATCTACAGGAAACCAGAAGCTTCCCACTTGCAAACAGCCTGGTTCTGGTTACCTACAACCACGTATGTGGTATCTGGGAACCAATGTGTTCCTCCAAGGCTAGAGTTGACCAGATTTAGGAAGCAAGGAGCCCATATGCCACCTGCGGGGGCTGAGTGTCTTTCTGTGGTTCAAGTCTCTAAGCCCTGAGGGAGGGTGAGACCCTCACAGACAGATGTCAACCACAGAGACCTCCTTAGAGGTAATCTAGGAACATCACCAAAGAGAAGCACTGGGGGGGTGGGGGGGCGTCTGCCTGCTGTGGTGGGACTGGGGGAGGGGGTGTCCCTGCGGTCCCATGATGTCACCAGACAGACTGCCAGAGCAGGAACTGAGGAGGATCTCGTGTGGAACACTAGCTAGCAAACAGAAAGTTCAGCAAGTGCTGATGAACCAGAAATCCAAACAGATCCCTGCTGTGGGACAATGGTCTGTACCCTGTCACTTGTATTTTAAATAAACGCTGATTGGCCAATAGCCAGGCAGGAAGTAGGGGCGGGGCAACAAGAATTCTGGGAAGAGGGAAGTTCAGTCTGCAGTCACCTAGACAGAGAGGAAGCCAGACACAAGCAAGCAAGATGTGACTGCCTAGCTGTAAAAAGGTACCAACCTATGTGGCTAACAGACAAGTATTATGGGTAATATAAGTTATAAGAGTTAGAAGCCTGAGCTAATAGGCCAATCAGTTTATCATTAATGTAGACCTCTGTGTGTTTCTTTGGGGCTGAATGACTGCAGGTCTGGGTGGGACAGAAACTTCAGTCAACAGATCCCTGCCCCCCTTCATTCCTGTGAAGAACTTGGCTTAGAAGCCACTGAAACACATTTCCTCATGAGCCAGGGCTGGCAGGTGCTAAGTAGACCTGGCATACCTGTGACATGAAGGACTCGCAGGACCTCAGCAGCCTCTGGTGGTCCCACGCTGTCATTCTGATCTGTACCCAGGTGGCTATACCTAGTCTGGGGTGGCCAGTCCATCACTGTCTGCCCAGACCAGCCAGACCCTTGTCCTCACTCTCTGAGACTAACGCTGCCTTCTCTTTAGACTACAGAAACTTTCTCATGTCACCCTCCTTGCTGTAGAAGTGGGTGTTATACAGCTGAGTGTTTTGTTTGGGGCAGGCCCATGTATGGGCTCTCATGACCCCTCAATGAGTTCAGCATAGCCAGAAACAGAGATGGATAGGCAAGCTGTCTACAAAAGGCCACCATGAGCCTCCAGACCATGGAGTTCCATCCGATGAGCCAGCACAAGCTAATTATACAACTGGGAACAATGGGGCTACACATATACAAGCCCATCTCCACAGATCAAAAATACCCCCAAGTACCTTGTTCCTGGCCTCTGTCAAGGATACACTTTCTTCCCTGTACTGAGCAGAAAGATGGATTGAATCTCGGTCCCTGGGGGATGCCATGCTGTTGTGGGTAGTTGAGGATCCACTGAAGGTGGTAGGTACATTGAGAACAGGATAGAAGACATTGCTATCCATAAACCAGCTCAGTACAACTATTAAGAACAGGCCAGGCTGGACTGTGGCTCAGGGTTGGGGCATGAACCCATATGACTTTCACCGGTACCACTGCAATCCACCTACCCACCCATGCATCCATCCACCCACCCATGCATCCATGCACCTAAACCTCAGTCTAGTGAACTAGGAACCCTCCACTGTCTATGCTCACGACTGCTAAGACCTGGTCACTTCATCTCCCTCATCCTGCTGGTCTCATCCTGTCTCCCAGCAGGGCAGGCAGAGAGCATCTTTGGATTAATCATATAAGCTCAGGCCACACACATGTGCCCGTCAGCCACTTATTAATATACAACCTTAAAGCCTTGACAAGGGGTGTATTCAAGCACAGAAGCCCAGCTCAGCAAAGCACTTGGCAAGCTGAGTAAAACCTTGATAAAGATTTCAACAAACAAAACTGCTGGCCATGGATTAGTGCCTTCCCATTCGCTGTTAGGCTTCACTGAATCCAAGCCATCCATCCACCTTCAATGGGCTACTTTTGAGTTTGTGTATTTTCCAGTGCTGTTTTTGTTTGTCTATTTGTTTTTTAACTCACCCAGTCAGGCAGAAGTGCTCTTTTTGCATCTTCCTCAATGATTTTTGGGAAGCTTAACGCCAAAGCCAGTGGCTGGCAGGACAGCTGTTGAAATGGGCTTCATACCCAGCACACACTTCCCCACAGGATGGGTGAGGCTGGGAAAGGAGGCTTTGATGCCAGTGTCCTCAGAGAACACTGTGCCCAGTCAGCACGGGGCACCTTGCTCTGAATGATCTTCGTCCCCTGCTGGGCTAAGCAATTAACACCCAGGAGCCCCCCCTGAGGCGCAGCCTCCTCTGGAGCCGTCCCTTCCCACTCACAGCCCCTGCTGCTACTTCTTCCAGAGTTCCCTGCTCTAACAGTGATGAATATGCCTGCCAAACCAGTGCTCACAGCCCAGACTTCCTAGGAAATTACTGAGGTTGCAGGTTATTCCAAATGTCACTGGAAAATGACCCCAGGGACTGCAGAGAGACTGTGGTTTCCCACAAGGCTACTTTGTCGCTTGCTGGCTGTTTCCTTCCTCCTCTGTACCTTCTCTAAGTTCCTTTTCTTGCTATCTCTTCCTACTCCATATTCCCTTCTATCCCCCGCCCCCCGTCCCATCTATCTTCCTGCCCACCCCCCCCTAAAAAAAAACCCTCTGGTCATATGAATTCTAATTCTGTAGGAGGTTACTAAGGAGCAAACCAGCAACAGGAAGGACTGGACTTTGATTTGTGGAGGGCCCTGGAGGACAGTGTGGCTGCAGGTCATGTTGGCACGGATCAGGCCTGTGGACGGCTGGGTTCATAGCCCTGGATAAGGCCAGGATCCTCCTGTCTTCTCCCTTGTAGTAACAGTGTAAAACCAGTAGTTTATCTACCCTCAAAGTTTTAAATGGACGCCGGGACTCTTTTTTTTTTTTTTTCCTGGCTGTACATCTGTGTATCATCTGCTACTTGTTAGCTGGCAAGGAGTGGAGCAACCAGGTCTCCTGCCTGTTTCTTCCTTCAGATCCTTGGTTCTAACTTTACCTAGTCTGATCTATACATCTTGATCATACTGTCCGCAGCCTGCTCCAGCTTACTCCCAACACGGAGTGGCCACACCTCTTGCTCTTAGCCTTGAGCCTCCCCAGCCCTCCTTCAGTAGACAGCTTCCACCTGAGAGCAAGGTGGCCTTAACCTGAGCAGTGTCCCAGGGGTGGCAGCTGAGGTCTAGGCAGAAAGTACAAGTACTATCATTGACCCTGGCTTCCAATAACTCCTCTTCTCCTTTACGAATCAGCAACACATTCTAAATTATATTTAGGGTTGGCCAGGTGCATGTGTCCCCAAGTGGACTAGGTGCCTAGAGTAGCTGAATGACCTATGACTTGACCTATGCTAGTAGGTTGAGGTTAGCAGAGAGAGGGTGCTTCTCAGCACAGAAGCAGAAAGGGCCATCACCAGGCACTTGCCAAAAATCACTGGGGTGGTTTCTGAGCAGCAGAAATAAGGAACATGTTCTCGATTGCCCGGGAAATGCATTGAGGACTGGAAGGGGCCAGGCAGGCCAGAGCCACCCAGTTCCATGGGGTCTCCCCAGTCAATACTGAGGCTGCTAGAGGACCTAGTGGTACCCTGAGTCTGGCCAGCCTGCACCAGGAAGCTCTGCCAAGAGAAAGGGAAAGACACTGCTGCTATGTCCCTGAGCCATGAGATCGTGGAACTCATGAGGCAGAACCAGGCCAGGGTCGGGAGTTTCATTTTCTAGCCTAAAGTCAGGTGACCCCCACTTCCCTCCCTTATAGAGTCCCTCAAGCTGAGACCTCAGGGCCAGCCTTCCCAGCCCCAGGAGCACCATGCCACCAGAGACTCACCATCCTCTTCATCTCCTTGGACACCTGGTTACCACCCAAGTGGTTGTAGAAGGGGCGCTCGGCTCCCCAGTGGGGCGGATTATGTCCGATGGAATTGGTTCTCTGGCGGTTCATCTTGGCAATCATGGCTTTCTCTTCTTTCTGAAGAGCAACAGAGATGCCTCAGTGTGTGGACAGAGCTATGGGAAGAGCAGCAATGAGCAGACCCTCACGCTCTCTCTAGGAACAAGAACCTGGCCAGGCAGAATGAGGAGCCTTTGCACAGCCCTGGAACTTGCTGCCCCAAAGTCTGGGGTGCTTGGTGTAGAGAATTATGAGAGCTGGTGTCATGAGAAAGTCCAGGGTGTGGGGACGCCTGTCGCATACAAGATGTACTCCTTACAAGTCTGAGCACGAGATTCTCTCCTGCAACTTCTCAATCCACTTGAAGGCCAAGCTCCCAAAGTCCTAAAATACACCGCAGACTGCCACCATTTAGCCTGCTTTCCCTCTAACGGGTGGTGGCGGGGATGGGGTAACTCCATGGGAGGGCTGAGCTTCCCTTCTAGTCCCCCAGGTAGCCAGGTCAGCTTGCACTATGGTCTCCAGTCCTGGCAGGTTCTACTCACTGGGATGCGGGGCTCAGCACCTATTAGGGTCTGTTTATAGTTTCATGGGTGGGTAGAGCCAGGGCTGAAGATGTCCAGAGACAGATGGAGGGAGAAGGGCCCTGGATTCCAGGATCTACTTCCTCTAGGGTCTGTCAGCAGAACAGACCTGCCATGCTCCAAGAGCAGCTCCCATAAACCTGTCACTGAGTTAGGAAAGTCAGAGACGGCAAGATATAAGTACACAGAGACCCAGCCTCCTCCCTATGGACAAACACTCCTTAAGTACCTATCTGTCAGACTGTCTGTCATTCCCAATGGGCACCAGAGGTAGATGACATAGGGTTTAGGGGATACTCAACCTTCCTTGGCTCACACTGCCAGGGATGGGGCTGTCACACCATTTGTCTGTCCCCACCTCATGCCTTCTGTACTAGCTGTCACTGGAGGAACCGAGACCCAGAGGGCTCAAGGCAGGAGGGTGCAATGGAGGCCTATGCAGCAGGGACCTGAAGGAGGGATATGGAGGGCCTGAGAGGGTCGCGGTTCATTCACACTCTGGTCAATGAACAAGCAAATGTTTAGGAGATCATCAGAAGTGCTGCTCTTCCTACACCCCCTCCCTTCTGCTGCTGCGGCTGCTGGGGTGTCTGAAGCATTTCCTCACAAAGGCCACTGCAGCCAGGACCTCTCTCCAGGTTCACAGCAAGGCACCCCCCTGCTTCTGCCTCAGGATGGGTAGGCACCGTTCCTTCTGCCCCACCTCTCCTTAGAAACGCACTGCCTCCACCCAGGTTCTCTGGACTCTGCCTCCACACGGCTATTCTGTTTCTAGCACCTTAAGCAAGAGGGAGCTTTTCTCTACCAAATGCCACTGGCCACTGGATACCCTCATTTGGGGAAAAACAGAAAATGCTCCATTTGCCTTTAAAATTATGATCATGGAACATGACACTATTAAGAATAGAATGCTGGGGGCTACTAATAATTCAGTTTTTCTACTTTTGCAGATGTGGGCTGAGACAACGAGGAAAGAAGAAAGAAACCAGAAGGCGAAAAGGAAGACAGTTTCAAGAAACAGAGATGCAGGGGCCAGCAAGATGACTCAGCCAGCGGAAGTGCTTGCTGCCAAGCCTGACAACCTGAGTTCAATCCCCAGGAGCAGCAAGATGGAAGGGGAGAGCTGACTCCTGCGAGTTATCCTCTGACCTCCATACACACATTTGTATGTAGAATACAAATGTTTAAAAACAAAACGGACACACATAGATGCAGGCTGAAGCAGGCATCCACAAACACCAAAGGAAATGAGAAGACAAGGAAGCGAGTGGGAATGAGAAGAGGAATAGGGAAGAGGAGAGATGAGAAACAACCACCACCTAGCAAAAAGCAGAGAGCGATTCCGTGGGCGCTCACCCTTCCCTCCTCCCCCTAGGCATCCTTGCTCACTCCTCTGGGGCCTGTTGCAATTTTTTTTTTCAACCGAAGTGAAATGAAAATATCCTTTCTCCCCCATCAGCTCTGCAAGGTCTCAGTCACTTTCGGGTCCTTTCTGAGAGATGGGAGGCAACACTGAGGGATTCATAGCCTTCCTCAGGGAAAAGAAGCGAAGGAAAGAACTGGCCAAGAAAAGGTTCCAAACCAAAAGACTGCCCCGGCCCCTGGCCCCTGACCCACAGGCCCTGCCCACTGACCCGCTTCTGGGTACAGCGCAGGATGAGGAAGGTCTCGATGCTGTGCTCCTTGAGGTAGGCATTGCGCTCGCCACCACAGCCTGGCTCCACCTCATAGTCTCCATTCAAGTAGTTGAGCGTGGCCTTGGTGATGTGGATGCGCCTATGGGGGGAGAGGGGGTGTCAGAAAGTGTGAGTAGAGAACTGCGGTCAGATACTAGCAGCCCACTCAAGGAACATGCTTCTGATCTGACAGTCACTCCTGCGCAGAAGCCAGCCATGGCTCCTGCCACCACGAGCTAATCTCCAGCCCAGTATCCAGGTCTCTCTCAGTCACTGACCGTTTCTCCTGGCTGCCTCTACAAGTCTGTCTGTGCCACTTCTGTCTACTGTGTCTCCCCACACCTGTGTCCTTGGTATCCATGCCAGCTGGTGCTTCAGCGTCCTGTAGGGAACGGGCCTCTCTCCACTGAAATAGGCTGCTCTCTACCAAAGGGCCACAAGCCACCGTTTGTCATCCAAACAAACACTTGGATGTTTGAGACAACATTCCTTACGACTTGTACGTAAACTGTGGTGCATGATTTGCTAAGTAAAAAAAAAATTCTTTGTCTTCTTTCTTCTCCCTCCCTTCCTCCCTCCCTCCTCTCTCTCT